CGGTAGGAGACGAGAATCTTATTCATAATGTGTCTCGTTGCATCGTGAAAAAATAATCATGATTAAAGCTGAGAAGTTCGGATAATCGGGGTTCGGATACTCGGGATTCTACTGTATTAACACGGATACTAAAGATGAAATCGATAAATTAAAGTAATACGCAAACTGAAAACCTCTGGTTTTACTATGGTTGAGCCACATAAGCGTATTGAAAAAACCAAGACAAACGTCTTAGTTATAGTAGCTTCACATTTTTCGTATGTATTGCGTATCTAGACATATTAATATCATTGGTACCAAAAATATATAGTCATTTCCGTTCCTTTTGACTTACATATTAAAACTGAAATTTACAAAGTTCGATACTTAGATATCAATACAAATACGAAAAAGTACAAATAGAATATGAGTTGTTTATTGAGTTTTTAAAACTAATTTACTTTTATACATGAAAGGAAACCGGAAGGGTAGCCATGGAAAAATCAAGAATGTACCGTATCAACTTCTAGTTTGATTTCTACCCACTCATCTCTAGTTTGACTTAGTGGGTGTGTGATACCCACTAAGTCACTGAAATTTTAAATGGTGATGTGAACTCCTTGAGTTTATAATCATACTCTTTGCTAAAAGTTCTATACTTTATATTTCAATGATGACATATGTTATAAATTGATATTGTCATACTCTCTTATGTTAAATAATTTGCTCTGTTTTAAAGCATAATAAAACCAAGTATCTAAATTGGTATTGTCTTTTCTTGTATCAATTTATTATGCTTTAAAGTGTTTTTCGAATTCAAAATGTCTGAGGACAAAGTTCTTCCGCCTTCTGGTTTGTCACGCTACCTACGTCCGGAACGCTTCGATACAGTTCCTTCAACTGACGGTTCCGATTTGAAATGGGCGCATTGGCGGTACTCATTTGAAAATTTTCTTAAAGAAGAAGCTTCACCCGTCTCTGAAGAGGTAAAGTTAAAAGTACTTATTAATCACGTGTCGTCGACTATATTCAATATAATACGAGAATGCACGAAGTACAGTGATGCTATCACGTTGCTTAATGATACGTTCGAAAGGCGAAAAAACATTACACTAGCTCGACATCTACTTGCCTCTAGAAAACAACAAGCAAGTGAATCTATTGCTGAGTATTGTCGAACTCTGACATCCCTTGCATACGATTGTCACTACAAAGCTGTAACAGCGGAGGAACATCAGAACGAATCAATACGTGGTGCATTTATTGCGGGATTATCATCCCAAAGAATCCGCGAACGTTTACTTGAAAAATCTGAGTTGTCACTGCCACAGACACTGAATCTCGCTATCTCACTAGAGACTGCCGAAAACACGTCCTTAGTTCTACAATCTAACACTGCACCGTCTCTAAACGTTATGACGAACACTACGCCGAATTTAACGGCTACAACCTCACGCTCTGGCACATCTTCAAGAAGGAGATGCTTTTTCTGTGGTGGGACCGTGCACCAAAGAATAAAATGCCCTGCATATAATGCACAGTGTCAGTTTTGTCAAAAAAAAGGACATTTTGCGAATGTCTGTCGAAGCGCTGATAAAAAACAACCGATCGTTAACGTTGTAACCACAGAAGATACACCAGAAGCTTCTCCGTCTAGCTTACTACTCTCCATATGCGCTGCTGCTCCTTCTAGCTTACGTAAGGCAACAATTTCCATCACTATCAATAATCACAAAGCTGACGCCCTAGTTGATACCGGAAGCTCCATTAGTTTTATTGACAATAGCCTAGTAGAGCTAATGAAACTTAAAAGAAAATATTGCAATCAAGCTGTAACCCTAGCTTCACTACATAATGTATCACACGTCAATGGTCTATGTCACGTTACTATCCAGATTGGAGATAACGTTTATAAACAACAGCCATTGTTTATCATAAATAGCTTATGTGCTGACGTGATCATAGGACATGATATCCTAAGGACACATTCTTCTCTTGAATTACAGTTCGGTGGTGAAAAGGATCCATTGAAAATCTGCAACGTCCTGGAAGCTTCTGTGCCGCCTGTATCAGTGTTTACTAACCTTTCGCCATCCATCAAACCTATCGCCATCCGATCTAGACGTCACTCTGAAGAAGATCAAACATTCATATCAAATGAAATCGCTAATCTCCTAAAAGACAAAGTTATAGAACCTAGCGTCTCCCCATGGAGAGCGCAAGTCCTGGTTGCAGGAGGTGGACATCACCGAAAACGTCTAGTAATAGACTATTCACAGACTATAAATAGATTTACGGATCTAGATGCATACCCTCTTCCGAGTATTGAATTTATAGTAGCTTCCGTATCTAGGTATAATGTATTTAGTCAGATAGATCTTAAAAGTGCATATCATCAGGTACCTATCCTTCCGAAGGAGAAAATCTACACCGCATTTGAAGCCTGTGGTAATCTTTACCAGTTCACACGGATTCCGTTTGGTGTTACCAATGGTGTCGCTGCTTTTCAAAGAACTCTTCACTATATCATTCGTACGGAAAAACTAAAAGGTACATATGCTTACTTAGATGATGTTACTGTCTGCGGAAAAGACAAGCGAGAACACGACATCAATCTGAAAAGGTTCATGGAAGCTGCAAAGAAATACAATCTTACCTTAAATAAGAACAAATGCGTGTTTGAATCTGATTCTATCAATCTACTTGGCTATTATATTCATAACAATACGATACAACCTGACAAAACACGCCTCGAACCGCTTTTGAGTCTTCCTATTCCGTCCGATACAGCCACACTTAAGAGAACTCTTGGCCTATTCGCCCATTATTCAAAATGGATTCATAATTTCTCAGCAAAAATAAAACCATTGGTCGATTCCTCATTTCCTTTAACTGAAGAAGCAATAGAATGCTTCACAAAACTTAAAGCTGATATTGCACAATCATCTCTGGCTTCTATCGATTCAAAAGAAACGTTCACTGTTGAGACTGATGCATCAGAATTTGCCATAGCAGCCACACTTTCACAGAAAGGCCGCCCGGTGGCATTTTTCACACGTTCTCTAAATAATTCAGAACGACGCCAACCTTCCATAGAAAAAGAAGCGAGTGCAATTGTGGAAGCCCTTCGCAAATGGCGTCATTATTTAATTGGCCGTTACTTTATTCTTATCACTGATCAACAGTCTGTATCTTTCATGTTAAATCAAACACATTCAAGCAAGATAAAAAATGAAAAGATAGAACGATGGCGTCTGGAACTATCTTGTTTTAAATATGACATAATTTATCGCCCTGGCAAACAAAATGTAGCTGCAGACGCGTTATCCCGTGTCTGTTCCCTTATAAATAGTTCTTCTAAACAACTCGCTGACCTTCACAGCTCTCTATGCCACCCAGGTGTGACAAGAATGATTCATTTTGTTCGTTCTAAAAATCTTCCTTATTCTGTTGAAGAAGTCAAAAGAATCACCTCTGCTTGTCGTGTTTGCGCCGAAATAAAACCTAGATATGTAAAGAATGAAGGTAAACTAATTAAAGCAACGACTGCATTTGAACGATTGAATTTGGATTTTAAAGGGCCTTTACCATCCAACACCTGCAATAAGTATATTCTAACCATAATTGATGAATATAGCAGATTTCCATTCGCATTCCCTTGTAAAGACATGTCATCAGCGACTATAATTAAGTGCCTGAAAGAACTTTTTTGCCTGTTCGGTACTCCTGCTTATGTTCACTCCGATAGAGGAACATCATTCCTGTCAGAAGAATTAAAGCTATTCCTGACTAGTCTTGGTGTTTCATGTAGCCGTACTTCCCCATATAATCCACAAGGCAACGGTTTGGTAGAACGCCTTAATGGAACACTATGGAAGACAATCCAGCTTCATCTCCGCTCTCAGAACTTAGATAGTGCCTGTTGGGAAAAATCATTGCCAATTGCACTACATTCTATAAGGTCATTACTATCTACAGGGATAAACACAACCCCTCACGAACGGATGTTTAATCATCCTCGGCGCTCATGCACTGGTTCTTCCATGCCAACCTGGTTAATGTCACCAGGGCCGGTATTTATGAAAAAGAACGCTAGAAATTCTAAATATGATTCAGCCGTCGAGGAAGTAGAGTTACTTCAGAGCAATCCGGCCTACTCCTTTGTGAGGTTGCCTGATGGACGTGAGACAACAGTTTCAAATAGATCGCTGGCCCCAATACCGCACAACGATGACGTATTTTTGGATACTGAAGACCCAGAGGAAGTTCCTGATCAAGAGTCTTTCACAGAAAATGAACAATCTATAGATTTGCATCCTGAGGCACTTGTATCATCTCCTGAAGACTCTCAGCTACGTCGTTCTTCTCGGGAGCGAAGGCCTCCGCCGTATCTGCAGGATTATGCTTCGACTGTGGTTAAAAAAAAATGCACAGGGTGAATGATGTGAACTCCTTGAGTTTATAATCATACTCTTTGCTAAAAGTTCTATACTTTATATTTCAATGATGACATATGTTATAAATTGATATTGTCATACTCTCTTATGTTAAATAATTTGCTCTGTTTTAAAGCATAATAAAACCAAGTATCTAAATTGGTATTGTCTTTTCTTGTATCAAATGGAAAGGTAATTTCTATTAAAAAAAATATGCACGTGACACATAATATCGATATTTCACATTACAATCGAGTAATCTGTATTACGACTAATTTGTTACGTCGTTATTTATGTTCCAATGACATATGTCAAAATGGACCTGTACTGTCTTATTTTGTGAAGAGTCATTCATTCATCTTTATCATTCGAATTGTTTGACGTCTTTAATTTAAAAGAAGCTATTTTTCATAATTTCGTTGCAATAGAATAACAACGACGTTACATTGTTTTCATACTAAACTGGCTTCAGTAGCAGACATTGGTAAATTATTAAACCTAAGTCCACATTTGAAAAAAAAAATAATTATAAATAAATCTTCTAACGTAATTCCTAATTAACATTGTAGGGTCACCGGAACGGCAATGGAGAAATTTATACTCATTTTCCTGGCTCTTTACGCTGGGGGTTCAGCGGAACTGTTGAGGTAATTCTTATAACATATACACAAATGAGAACATAAATTATTTTACTGAACTTTATAGATATTACTAAACTTTGTGAGTGATAAAAAATAAAGTTTGTGAGGCTATAGGCTATCTTTGTAGTCTTTATTTTTTCCTATTTGTATCAATCAAACTAGCTTTCGTTTTTAATTTTGTGGTATTTTCAATAACATAATTTAATGGGGAATTATTAATGACGCTACTGTGTTTTTGAAACTGGTGTGTTTGTTTGTCTTAGAACTGTATGTAACAAAAATATTTTTATAATTTTAACACAAGATTACATAATAAATTAGAACTGACTATTATAAGAGAAACTTATGTGATGCCAATAAAGATATTTAATAATGACATTCTGGATGAACTAGAATTGTTGCCATAAAAATTATATAAATCATGTTTGAAAACATGGTAAGTTGATAAATGTTTGTATCCAGTATATGAGTTTAAATATTGTTTGGAACACTTTCATTGAATAACATATTATAGTTAATAACTAACTACCTACAAATAGTTTAAGTTATTGCTTGCTCTTTAATAGCATAATATGATATACTTACATTATTTTCTTTAATTTTGTAGTTGGTTAGATTACCCATGTTTCCATAATGTTTGCATTATGTTTAAAAAAGAATAATACGTATTTTTAGTTTCCTAAACTAATGTTTTGTTTGTTTGCTTTCATAAGTCAAATAATTGTAAAAACTACAGAGGTTTTGATTATTTAGGTCTACTAAAGTAGTTGAACATTAATTTATATACATTATCTATGAATAATTCAAGCGTCTTATTTTCACGGTTCATACAATACAACCTAGTGACTGACAGACAGACAGGCGGCGAAGTCTTAGTCGTCGTTTTCACCTTTGGGTACGCAAACCTCAAAATTAAAGACGCTGCCGAATGTCACTATTGAATAACAATTGTAATATTTTGGTAACAACATAATTTAAATGTGATATGATGATGTATATGTAGTTACTTCTGGTAAAGGCTAGAAAATTTCTTACGCTTATTCCTCTTGTCAATGATCCATTGTGCTTTTGATAAACTTATTTGAGTAAAGAACAAATTCATTTCAAATATATGAAACAGGTCTATACTATTTATCTGGTAAAAAGAATGTGTTTTAAATATATGTGTTATTGTATAGAGTTCCGCTGTATCGGATGCAGTCGGTGCGCAGTCACCTGCGCGAGGTCGGCACCGAGCTGCAGATGTACCGCATGAAGTACTCCGTCAAAGGACCCGCACCGGAACCCCTCTCTAACTACCTCGATGTGAGTGCTTCACTGTATGCAATCATGAATGTGTTAATGGCTTTATCAAAACTTAAGTCCCAGAGGTGTACGGAATATTCGCTTAGTTTCTTAAATGACTGCAAAACTATTGTTTGGGTGTTATAAAAAATATAAATTGAAGATTTTACTCTGAAAGTATTGAACCAATCTAGGTTCAATACTTTCAGAGTAAAATTGACTGTAATAGTCTGACAGACAGACCTACTGGTAATGCTAGTTGGGTGCAGTTTTCTCCCTTGAGGTAGAGAACTTAAAAATAAATTCACATTAATATATAAAGTATTATAGGACCAGTTCATTAATTCATTGTTTGTGCTCGGTTAACTGTGTCCTGATAACCTACCACTTATCAGCAATGTTTACTGCTGTTAGCTGCCATCACATCACATTCTGTAACCATTTTTAATGACTAATATTGTTATGATATTATTACGACTTTCTTGTCCCTATTCTCTCTTTACTTATATGAAGTAAATTTTTATATTTTTATTCAAGATAACTATAAATATTTTTTAAACAATAAGTATATATTATTATAAAATAATAAAACATGTCATGCCCGGAGACTTTCATTTTAGATTACATTCTTTATTTTAGTAAATGCAATGGACTCTCAGAAATAATATTATATCTACAAAATTAGTAAAAAGTCAGAATATATTTCTATAGTCTCCCGTGTATGCCCAGGTTGAAGTTGACCAACTTGGACCATTTTGGGAATCATATCCTACACTTATAAGTTCCGAGGTTCCGAGGAAACTGACATGAACTTATATTATAAGTATAAGAACACAACATTATGTAAAAATTCGCGTCAATCCAGTGACGAACCAGATACTAGGAGCGCCCAAACATTGTTTATATCAGTATTTAGTAGTATAATACTTAATCTGTCGCGGGCCTCGACACATAGTCATGTCGCCAGTCAGTCAGCCGTGGGCGGACGTTAGCGAGGGAATTTGTAATGTTTTTTTCTCGCTAAAGTTGATGCAAAGCTAAACTCGTGTGCAGGCACAATACTACGGGCCGATCTCGATCGGGAACCCGCCGCAGACGTTCAAGGTCGTGTTCGACACCGGCTCCTCCAACCTGTGGGTGCCCTCCAAGAAGTGCCACTACACCAACATCGCCTGCCGTAACTATCTACACTCGTACATTACTCTGCTCTGATCTACGTAACTACTATATACTATATAACGTTCACTCGCCTAATACTGGAGCAGTAGGCACTTGAAAAATATGAATAATCGTTACCCTTAGTTTAGCTGTTCTCGTTTATTTATATACCTACTTTGTTTAAGTTAAATAGAGCTCATGCAACGGTGAAACAGTAATACCTCTGTTACGATAAAACGTATTACAGTTGCTCGTTACTCGACTATATCATATCAATATTAGAATAAGTATTCATAAACATTTTAATTACCCAATTTGTCATCGTAAAAATAATTTATCGCTTCGCATATTTCGCATATTGACATAGTTTACTGTAAACAATTTCACTATCACTCGACACTATTATTAATACGTTATCAATTTGAAGGTTGAATACTTAAAGAGTATATGCGCTCGCGCTGAATCCGTCGCGGGTACACGAGTGAATGCCAAATGTCACAGTCGCCACACTATTTAATTTGTTCAACTTCATGTCTCGTTTTAATTTCGTTTACAACGATTTTTTCCTATTAAAGAAAAATCTAAGATTACAAATAAAAGAATTAGGAATATAATAATAACAAATAATATCGCGTTCACAAACTACACATGAACGGTCATATAGCATTACTCGCTCGTCGTATTCAGTACTTACAGTATCGAAGGAGCAAGAGAGAATATATTCAGTGACCTATGAGCCTATCTCATACATTTTTACTTAAACACTTACACCTCACGCACGGTAAATGCGTTATGTTAAGTGAGTAACGTCTTACGAATTTATAGCAATGGTCTAATAATAGTACATTACGATACGAATAGTACATTACATTAGTGCGTTATGATGCTCGGCTCAAATACGCCCTCGCCTTCGGCTCGGGCTGAAATTCCGCCGAGCATGTTATAACCAATACGCACGTATATCGTACGACGTTTTTTAACACATTTGCGAGGAAACAGAAAACAAAAAAAACATTAAATAAACTCAATCTGTGAATGTACTTTCCCGCCATTTTAACTGCCTACCGACTGGCGCCGCGCGGCGATTAGTTCGAAATTTGAATAGCAACAGCGCGCGAAATGGCAAATAATACTGTTATGGAATTTGTATGGACTATAACTTGACTATTTGCTTTGGTAACACACGCGTTTTTTATGACCCAGTTTACATATTTAAAACCGGTGCAATTACATCAGCTTTACGAGCAAAGGTGTTAAAAAGGTATTATCCAGGTTGTTTAGATTAAATTCCGGTTAAGATATAAGTAGGTAGGCATAGGTACAGGTATAGAGGCGGGGTGTTGTTGCAGTGCTGCACAACAAGTACGACAGCAGCAAGTCGAGCTCGTACCGCAGCAACGGCACCGAGTTCGCGATACACTACGGCTCCGGCAGCCTCTCCGGGTTCCTCTCCACCGATGACGTCAACGTGAGTACACAATAGGGCGGGGCAAAAGTTTCTTATTATAAATTTTAAACATTTTTAATAAAGTTTAATTACATTTAACTAAAGTATGTACTTGATACCTTGTAACATCTTGTAGATAGACATGATCCCATTGCTATAGAAATTTTGGGCCTTCTGACCACAAAACCGCGACGAGTGGTTTTGGTAGGAAGAAACAGGTGGAGATCAGGAGATGCAAAGATAGGGTTATACGGCGGATGCATTAACACCTCCCACCCAAACTCTTAATTTTTGCTGGGTGGCAAAAGATGTATGGGGTCTAGATAACTCTAGATGAAAAAACCGTACCCCTTCTATTGATCTATCCTGGCCGCTTTCTCTCGACTTCTTCTTTTAATCTCATCAGTTGTTGGCAGAAGAGTTCAGAATCGATGGTCCTGTCTGGCGGTTACAGCTCATAACGAATAACACCCTTCTAATTCCACTACAATCACTAGCTTATCGTCACCTTGTTGCGAGTTAACCCGGGATTCACTATAGTCTGTGAAGCCTGACCCACCTTTGACCACTACCTTTTTGGCGCGTTCTTGTCATACGTGATCCACTTTTCATCACCAGTTATCAGTTTCTTTAAAAATGGTTCGGCTTCATTACGCCGTAATAGAGAATCATAAAATAAGTACACGGCTCATTAGGTTTCTTTCAGTGAGCTTGTGAGGTGTCCAAATGTACAACCTTTTGTGTACCCAACTTTTTTCAAAAGCGCCAAAACTTTTTCGTGGTCAATCCCCAGTTCTTCAGCTACGTCGTAACTACTGATATGCTGATCTTGTTCCGCTTTTTCAAAAACGACGTGCATCTTTGGCATCAAAATTTCCTGACTGAAAACGCTTAAACCAAATTTGCGCTACTCTCACAGATCTAGGTCCACATAAACGTCACAAATGTTTTTCGCACCTTGTGGTTCATTTTTACCTTTTTTGTAATAAAATTTTAAAATGTATCGAATTCCTTCATTACATTCATTTATTAAAAAAAAAAACAAAAACAAAAAAAAAAAACAAATGAATATCACACGTTTTCCTAATTTGAATTTGGAGTTACTTTCTTTAAAATTGATACAAATAGTATAGCCATTTTATTACAAGTTTATGCGTACTATATGTGTAAAGACTTCCCCTAACCCAATATATGGTCTACCTATTATATTAACATGCGAATACTCGCCGACTCGCTCGCATCGGTCGATCGAGGCCGCACGCGGGGGCCGGGGGCCCAGTCGGCCTCATTTCATCGGTCGATAAATCGACATTAGCCGGTGTTTCGGTTAGTAATCGTACTCTCGGCCTCTATCGACCGCGACCGGTTTCAACGGGGCACTCTTTTGTAAAAGAATACTCGTATTTCGGTATCGACCGATAGACGGGGATAAGAAATTCCGAGATGGGGCTCGGGTAGCTCGGAATTTCTTATCCCGGGATCATCGGGTCTTATGAAAATTGCTTAACATCCGTAATGTCGACAAAAATAGTAAGTAACAAGTATAACCCTACCAATAAATATCGGTGTACCCGGTGTATTGATAGTTAATTAATTTGGATGATTTTCGTTCAGCCTTATTGTAGAACGTATTCAGTTAATTGGCTTGTCGAAAGGCAATCTTTTATTTGAATGGCGCGATTCAATCGAAGGGCCAGCCGCCCATTTTGTCGGCTCATTATACCACTTGGTTGCGACAGATACATATTCACGATAACAAAAAAAAAATAAAAGTCAGTTGTAAATTTTGAAGATGGTATGTTTAGCTGAAGTTTATTTATATTTATCTATCTGTTGTGAATGTGTGCGTGCGCGTGCGTGTGCGTGCAGGTGGGCGGCATCAGTGTGCGGGCGCAGACGTTCGCGGAGGCGCTCTCGGAGCCGGGGCTCGCGTTCGTGGCCGCCAAGTTCGACGGCATCCTCGGCATGGGCTTCGGCAGCATCTCGGTGGACGGCGTGCCGCCCGTGTTCGACAACATGGTGGCGCAGGGCCTGGTCGCGCCCGTGTTCTCCTTCTACCTGAACAGGTGAGGTGCGGTGGCCGGTGGCCCGTGGCCCGTGCCCCGTGGCCCGTGCCCGTGCTGTACCGGCCCCTAACGGCCCCGTGCCCCGCAGGGACCCGGCGGCGGCGGCGGGCGGCGAGCTGGTGCTGGGGGGCGCGGACCCGGCCCACTACCGCGGCAACTTCACGCACGCCCCCCTCACGCGCGCCGCCTACTGGCAGTTCCGCGTGCAGCGCCTGCGCACCGCCAACGGGACCACCTTCTGCGCCAACGTGAGCACAAAGATCTAATAATCTTTATTCGAATAGACTTCTTAAAACCACTTTTCGATCGTCCGACGTTTTTTCTCGTCTCCGAAGGGGTGGAGACCGCGCAAAGTTTAGGATATTTGTCGTTGTCGAATTTTCGAATGCAAAATTTAGGGAAGGTGATGAACTAGTTGACCGTTTTGTATACCATTAAACCGTTCACAAAATATTTTGTATTCCACATACCTGAGCTGAAACCATCGCGCTTCATTCCCATGAACCGCTCCGTCGAGTTCGTTCCTCCTCGGGTCGCTCGCCGGAAGTGATGTTTCTTTGTATAAAACGTATATACTTACTGATAATATTATCCGCCCTCCTTTCTATTGGCATTTCATAGAGGTCGGCTCTGATCTTTATCCTTTTCGAAGGCCGATGATCCGATCTGGGATTATCGGTCCTCGAACTTCAGAAGTTCCAATTTTGAATGTCGGAATCGAATGTCCTCGTTTGGAAACTTTAGACGAATAAAAAAAACCGCCGGTCCGGTTGCTAGAGACGAGAAGAAAACTATTTCAATTGCGTTTTATTCGACGTGTAATAATCGTCTAAAATTTCGATTCGGTCGGGCGTGCAGGGCTGCGAGGCGATCGCGGACACGGGCACGTCCCTGATCGGGGGCCCCGTGGCGGAGGTGGCGGCCCTGAACCGCGCGCTGGGGGCCTCGCCCGTGGCGTTCGGGCAGTATATGTTCGACTGCCAGCTGGTGCCCACGCTGCCCGCGGTCACCCTCACCATCGCCGGGGAGCCCTTCACGCTGCAAGGGGCCGACTACGTGCTCCGGGTCAGTGGCCCCACCGGGGGACGATCTATTCCGCTAATTTTTATATAATAATCCTTATATGCCCGTTTCCATTTAAATTTAGGAGTCACCTAAACATTTAGGAATCGCCTAAAGTAAATATGCATTTAACCATTACCACTAACCACCTAACGAAATTAAAAAGTGTCTAAAGTCATCATATTCGCTATACGGCGCCATGCGCTAGGCATTTGCCTATGACAGATCATAAACATGCCAAGGGTCAAAGAAAAAAATATTTGTTTGGAATTAAATTAATCCGCTTAGGCGATTCGTAATATTAGGCGTCAACTAGTTAAGCTATACCCTGTTCTAGATTAGTGAAAATAAACTTAATTTCAAAATTCCCCGCAACACCGTTAAATTCTGTCATGACACCGCTTTCTAACAAATAACAAACGGCGGGAAATGACGCGCTGTGTGCGGTCACGTGACAACGTGTATAGCATGTTTGATTTTTCATAATTAAATTAGCAATATTATGAATATACAGTAGAATCCATTTAATATGACACCGCCTATAGTGCCCCACCGGCTATTATGACGTAATTAAACAACGAAGTTTGGTTTTCATATAAAATTCTTGAAAAAAAAGTCGGATATAATGACTTTGCTTATAGTGACATGTCGGTTATTATGACCCATTTTTAATAAATTATTTCTGGTTATAATGACCGACATGACTTTTTACGCTTCTGATAATGTTCGATGATTCCCGGCATCGTTCGGCACCTGGCTAACTTTAAAGTGATGGAGAAGAGGAAGTCGAGGAAGAACCATTACCCACCGCAGAAGAGGCATTAAAGGCTGCAGAATTATTATCACGATTTGTTCATAGCAATATTGAAAATAATAATTTGGCCATGGCGATGTCTTCTTTAGACAATACTATTAGATACTGTTATTACAATAAAATAAAAAAAACAAAAGCAGGCAAAAATTACAGATTACTTAGATTACATACTTAAATATATTGTTTATACTTTTTAGTTGTAATTTTTTTATGATCTATTATAAATACTAAAATACATACATAATTAGATTAGAAGAAAAATGTCACCAAACCCTTTGTATGACGTCTGCTTATAATTACGTGTTTGTCAATTCCCTTCGATGTCATTATATACGGATTTCACTGTACTTTTAGGCTAAAAGTGTGATATCGGTTATAATATATTAAACACTACAAGAAAAATAATTCAGTACAGCATTGTGAATGCAAAATTGATTAAATTATAATAATATATATTCATTCTTGTTTATTGTCAACGCCCGTATTTCGCTTAATAGACTACGAAACTGGAGAGTTAAAAAAATAAATATAACGCTTCATCATAGTGGTCCAGTGTAGAGTCGATGTGTAATTGTGTGAATTATACTTCAGGTGGCCCAGTTCGGTAAAACGATTTGCCTGAGCGGATTCATGGGCCTGGACATCCCGCCTCCGAACGGGCCGCTGTGGATCCTCGGGGACGTGTTCATCGGGAAGTATTACACCAAGTTCGACGTCGCCAACAAACGGATCGGGTTCGCGACCGCCGTCTGATCGTCTTGTAGTAGGGGATCGTGCGGAGCTTATATTATTTTTGCACCTATATAGAGTTTAAAGGAATGTCTCGAAGTCCGCATCCGCAACGCTCCTAATTATAATTCACTAGAAATAACTCGTGCTGATATATATATAATATGCATCATCTAATAAATTAACTATGCCCTAGGCTACATTTTTGATACTGTTGTCATTATTTTTTTCATCATATATATATAATGAAGGAAAATCGTATTTTTTTACTCATCAGTCATTATTTGATAAACGATAGCAATGACTCAGATTTGTAGTCATCGAGCGATATGCAGGTATATTGTTCTCGATAAATTGTCGTCGTCATATAGAAGTCAGTCTTAGAATGTATGATACTGTTGCAATAATGTGCTCGCTCGGTACAGCCTAGTTTAGTTGTTAATAAACAAAATTATCGAAATGTTTATACTCAGTAAAATGACATTAGTGTAACCCCAGATCTATATTTTTGAACGTCAGATTCGTGTATGTTGGTCTCATTGTTAAGTTCCTGCATATAAAATGGTCAATTCTTATGTGCGATATACAAGTTTGTGTGTATTTTGAAAACCAAAGAGTCGTTCATTGTAGAAAAAAAATGTATTCATAGTATATTTTTACAACTCCATCGCATCATGTATAGATGGACTGTTCATAAAACGTATTGCAGTATATTTAAAATTGTTATGTAGCTATTGACAATGGTTTAGCAATAGTGAATACTCCACACTCATTTTATATATAATTATCTCAAATAAATTTAAAACGTAAATGAGCGTTTTATTTATTTATTATAATAAATTAATGAGCTAACTCTATAGAAGTAGTCACAGGATTAGGTGGTATCACATTTCGCCACATTTATCCCAGTCAGTTTGAGAAGATGCAAGGAAATTTAAGAATATCTTTTCTATAAGCACCAACCGTGACTGACCAAAATATTAAAATGTTACTAAGACAAAATATTAATCTAAACACCGAAGATCGTCAACAATCACTCCATCCTAACACGAGGGGTAATGGAATGGCAACGGCCAGATCATTCTAAAACATGATTTAATTCTATAATTAATTTAAATATATTGTTTTAAGTAAAATACATCGTCAGTACATAAATTATAATTACAATAATCTGATAGAACATCTCGGTCGACCGACGCTACTTATGTTAAATTACACTATACTATACTATATGTGAGGGGGAGGGGGGGGGGGGGGGGAGGGCTACGCCAGACCCAGTTTATGTTTTTTCCGAAACTTTTTAACGTACGCCTCCACCAACGCCTGGATCTTCGTCGGGTTGATCTCTCCAGATTTATTGTGGTAGATCTGAAAACAAAACGACATTTACTTAAAATATTGCGCCATTCTAACCGGCCTAATGAATTTTTGAAATTATTATTTTAATAATAATTATAGAGACAATGATCTGCCCTTCAAAGCTGAAAAGGAAGGGTCGATTGTAAGCCTTAATCTGTTGACGGTTACATTCAAAATGAATTGCATGCACGAGTGTAGTGTACCTTGGGCACGGCCCTCCGCAGGATGTCCTTGTACTCGTCCTTGGTGACGTGTTTCTTATTGTAGTGCGGCTTCAGCACGAGCTTCACCTCCTCCACCACGCGCTCTTGCCGGTTCAGCTTCTTCAAGAACTATACACACAAACAGACACACACCCGACGTTTAGTATACATTATAGAGTTAGTCGGTCGAAGAAACAGATTGCATGCTACTGTATATTTATCTTATCCGTACAGACCGCGCATTTCAGCTAAACACTCATTAGCAATAATGACTTCATTAATAATTACGACACGTTAGTCGTGTACTCATTTTGTCATATAATCAGTGTTTTCGACAATACATCAATTCATTTCAAATGAACTGTTTTATTTCTATTCAGTTACCAACAAGATGTAGGGTGACAATTATTCATTACTTTCTATATAATGAACGTTTTTGTCTTCGATAATTAATAACATTGGTTTTCACATCAAAATAAATTTTATTTTCATCGACTAACCTTTTTTTATGAATAAGACAGACCTCGCGCTATAATAAAGACTTGAAAAATCATTTTTATTCAAAACTAGTGACCGTCAGCGACTTCGTCCGCGTTTTCCATTATTTCTTCGCTCCTAATAGTTGCAGCGTGATGTTATATAGCCTAAAGCCTTCCTCGATAAATGGTCTATTCAACACAAAAATATTTTTTCAATTCGAACCAGTAGTTCCTGAGATTAGCGCGTTCAAACAAACAAACAAACAAACTCTTCAGCTTTATAATATTAGTATAGACATCGCGTCATATTAAAACTCGTATACCGAACGTCGACTTTTATACCATTTATAATGTAGTCCCGCGAGATCGCTGGATGCGAAACAATAATAATCAAAGGAGACACATTTTTTCTTTCATCAACCGTTGAACAGATCAAGACTGATGATAATCGGTGTGGAGGCTCACCTTGCTCTTGACCTGCATCTCGACCGCGGAGCTGGGCAGGTCGTCCAGGATCTTCAGGTTGTCCTCGTCGATCTTCACGCCCACTTGCGTTTTACCTGATGTCACATAATACACTTTATAAGAGGACACATACAATACAAAATAGGCAAGTCAAAATAGACTACGTTTCGACATACACATCAAGTATTGTTGCCCCCGTGCGTATCACACGATTTTCAATGTTTATTTCCCACCAATCACAAATAACCTCCAATAGATACCGCATGGTGACTATTTTGTTAAACAAATGAAGATGTCAAACTTAGCGGTGGGGCAGGGGGGCGGGAGAGGTAACTGCGGTGACGCTATTGGCGAGTACAAAGACACGTATACCGTAGTGATGGGTACTAACATTTGAAGGCATGTCGATAATTGATCGATATTATGTAAATGTCACAATTGGATATCTGTAAAAATATGTTTAATTATATTTATTTTTATTTAATTCACAATTTAAAGTACTATGAACTAATTGATGGACGAGGCATCCAACGGCAAGGTTTCAGCGAACGCGTACTCCTTAAATCACTAACTTTCAAAAATCAATTGTGTACAAAGAAATACGTTTAAATAAGTTGTAATTAAGAATGGGAGAACAACATCACATTTTAGATATGTAATCTCGACCAAAAAGTGAATTTATAACCCCGATAGAAAAAAAAATCAAAACTCCCCAAAAAATAACCATATTTGCACTTCTTGTAGCACCATTTTTCCTGCTACATTTTTTAATTTAAAGCTATGACGAAAAATATTAAGTGAAATCTTCTAAAGGGGGTTAATTTAGACGAAAAATGCAAAAGTTGCAATCTTTGAACTTTGAAATAACGAACAAGTATATTTGTATAGGATGGAAATTATTAATGAAGTCTAAAACTACATATGTTCTGAAATACTCGTATCTTAAGCTAGTTAACATAGGTACTGTAGGTACATGACGAATATTGTTTATTGACCTCGTAGTATTTTTGTGTTAATTTGCGCACTGAGTACATTTTTTTTTCTGTAAGAAGTATCGATATCTAGAAAGAGCCTGCAGTGCGATACTAGTGTTACACGTGTCATTGTCAGTATGAAATAAATATAGTAACTTCGCAATGAGAGAAAGGGATGGGTTACAAGAAGACATCAACGCGTGCTGCATTTTTATAAGGCTACCTTTAATTGTCCACTACAACTTGTGTGCCCGAGTTTGGTGGAATGTTCAATGATAAAATTGATAACGAAAATTACGATATTATTTATTGAATTTTCACAAATGAAAACCTAAATCAAAATAAAAACCTATTCTATTCTATAAATGGTTATGTTATTGTTAATGTCAAATGAAAAAACGAATGTTTTAGAGTGCATCCGATTGTAAGAACGGTACAAATACACTGATCACGTAAACGCCGCCGATGACAGTATAGCGCGGACAATGACCTACTTCAGATACATTGCTAATCGTAGGTATACAAAATGCAAATTGACATGTTCGGTTACGCCCCGAGCACATGATTCACCTAATAACTACTTTATTATAAAGAAAAGTGTTCTCGTCAAAGCATATACTCATTCACAGATCGAACACTTGGTCGTAATTGAGTATTCGCATACGCGTATAACTAGTTTTGTTTAAACGATCCACGCAGAATCATAGACGCTTGGCTACAGCTTACTGCCTTTCATGCGGCATCTATTGGAGGTTGTCTGTGGCCTCAATAAAGGGGAAGATTTCCAAGAATCTACAAAACTATTCGACGGACCAGTTTTCAGGACCAACTCGAACGTCTGCAGTTAAATTCGAATCAGCTCGGGAACCGAGACGGGGCCTTTCTTTTACAATGAGAGAAAAGACAGATCGATAAAGAAACACGACGAGCACGGAGGGGAACCCTCATAGTTTTGCCATGTTCGTCTGGCCGGCCGTCCGTCCGCGGTTGAACTCAAAAACTATCAGTACTATAAAGTTGTAATTTGACACGAGTATACATGTTAGTTATTTTTTCGTCTCGTCCCCAGTGTGAGGCGTCGTCGGAGAGGTCTTTCAAAAACACCGGGGAGGGGAAAGGCCATTAACGATTTAGTAAAACGTCTGGGACTTATTAAACTTTATAAACAGTTAATTTTCGTCAGTCAAGTGTCCCCTCTCTGCCAGCCAAACGGTCATTGGAGAAAATTCAAACGTTACGGCAGTCCAACCTTTGTATAATTAAGTTAAAAGGAAAACTATCACACTCAAGTTGGCTTTACAAGTTTACGAGTAACAGTCGGCCGATCGTTTTGAACTCGAAAACTTCGAACAACAATATAAACGAAAAGTAGGAGATATAATATTTAAAAATGAATAATCAGAGTGAGTTTTTGAGAATATTGTGGAGAAGCTGTTTGTTCGATGTGGAGGTTAAGTTTATTCGATGTCATCACTATTGTTAATAGTTAGCAATTAAATAAATTTTGTTAGTATTTAGTAATGGAACTGTCAGGTCTATTAGTTAAATAAGTTATGATTGTATTTGAATTGTAAACGACTGTTTGTTTTCCTAAATAAATAAAAAATAAAACTCCATTAGAAAACGACAAACATAATATGACACTGGTGCCCGACGTATGCGAAAAACTAGGCAATTATGTAAATCGGACGTACCTTTCTTCTTGCTGAGTTTGACGGGCACCTTGGCGGGCGCGGGGGCGCGGGCCCGCGGGGGCGCGCGGGCGCGGGGCGCGGCCCCCAGCGCGTCGAAGGGGTCGCGGCGCGCGGGCGGCGGCGGGGCCCCGCGCGGGGGGGGACTGAACAGCTCCCCGAAGTCCGAGGAGCCCGGGGAGTACGGGGAGTCCGCGCGCGGCAGCGGCGCCGCCTGCGGGCACACACACGCGTCGGGACACGTCGGCTGATTGCTTATCGCTAATGCGGGTTGCCGCCATATTGGTGACGTGGTTTGACGTCAAAAATCAGTACGTATACCAAATAAACTCGAAGGGACGAGTGAACTAAAAATAGATTTGTTTTTGCGTTTTTTTTTTAAATAATGTTAACATGTCAAAGATCGTGTTTATAATATCCCGGTCGATGGAATACCGACAATTAACAATTCCAAATAAACTCACGTGCGATATTGTCATTTAATCATCATTCTATGCTATCATTTTGCGCAATATTTTAAAATGAATAAATAACTTGAAATTCGTAATGTATAGAAAAGAGAATGTTTTTTTTTGGTACTTAATAGTACCAAAAAAAAACATTCTCTTTTTACATTACAAAACATTACAAACAAAACATTACAAAAGCTAGTTGACAACTTTTTTTTATTTTCATAAATAAATAGCTAGTTGGCCGAAAACGCTCCCCACAAATTAAAGGAACTCAGTGACGTCACACGGTGCTACACTAGCGAAACATGTATGGGCGTCTGGACAATTTTTGTATTATCTTTATTATTTGTGCGTTTATGTTTATAGCTGTTATAATAAAAGTTGTAACATTTTTTATATCGAATTTAATGCCTTATGTATTTTAGAAAATTTTTGTAGTAGATTTTCTCTACTTTTTTAATGTTTTCAAAGCGTAATATTTTCCAAATCAGCGACTTAAAATATGTTAAAATTATTATAGCATCTAGACTCATTCCTTTATCTTTCATCAAAGTTTCAAGTCTGAAAGTGCCCCCGTTTTAGAGAATTAAGTTTAAAAAAATGGTATGGTTTTCTTAGCAGCACGAGTGCACACAGCCATCATTTAAAAAAAAGTGCAATAAATTAAAACAAACGCAAAGGAATCTTAGCTTTCGGTAGAGTACTTTGGGGTAAATACGAAAATGGGTAAATTTCGATAATGAAATTAAACAAAAACCAATTTGTTTGTTGTAATTAAAATATTTTTATCCAGTAAAAGCCCACTTTACCGACATAAAATGCCCGATTTGTTGCTAATTCGTCACTGTCATGCTTCCTGAATTTGCATGTTTTATGTATTACTCCAAAGCACCTTGTAATAACTTAGCGTCCCTAGTAGACGAAACAAATATCAACATTGTGAAAATCGAATTCATAATTTGTTTACTATATATGTTCATTATAATAAGCCACGCTCTGAATAGACTCAAACCGCGCCTAATCTGCGTTTGCGAGCTTCGATTCATTTAAAATATCTCTGTATTGAGATTTAGTGGTCTGCAATAACAATAATTAATAAAATGATTACTAATAAGATTTATTAACGCTCTATCGATTAATATATACTCTATGCTTGGTAAGAGATAATTTGAATAAAGTACCAGCTTCCATACAAAAACGAGTTCTCCTTTAATTTTAGATTCTGTATCAATAAAACTTGTGACTACATATTCATGTCTCATTTATGTTTCTAGTTTCTGAAAAAGAATTCATAGAAAACATACCTGGAGGGGTTTGATCGGATCCGATTTGATCGGAGACGGTTTAGCCAGGAACAGCTTGGGCGGCTGCACGCGCACCGACTCGGGGAGCACGATGCGGGGCGCGGCCGCCGCCGTGGGCGTGGGGCCCGGCGCGGCGGCGGCGGCGGCGGGGGCGGGGGCGGGCCCCGGCGGCGCCCCCGCGGGGCCCGGCGAGGCGGGGGGCGCGGGCGCGCACGGCGGCGGCTCCGGCGACACGTCGCGGGTGGACTGCAGCAGCGCCATCACCTGTCGACACCGACGGAACCTATCAGGACGAGGGGGCCGTGCCGTGCCGCTATGCGAGTGAACTATGATAAGATAGGCGGATGATGAGAACCGCTGAGTGTTCGGGTCGTCGATCACGCGCGCCGGTCTCCCACTTTTAAGATTCTCGTCTCCATATTATGTGCACGCGGGCAAATAGTTGTATGAATATGCTAGAAGACGTGAAGAGGACCTATTTTATCGGACATTACTATAGAAAAATAAATGAATCTTTCTCCTGTCGAGGTACACTACGGCGGTGATATTAACACTAGGACGGCACCGATGAGATATATGAAGGTGATCGTCTATTATTGTATAGTAGATAATGTATCAAACGCTTTGGAATTGTACGTACGTAAATTCTTCGCGCCTGTCTCGCCCCATCAGACATATGAAATTAAAGATTTAATTTTTCATTATAATACATTATATTTTGTTAGAGTACTTCTTTGCGATGATCGAAAGTATAAATAGGGAATATGCGTCTGTCTTAAAGATCGGTTAAATATATTTATTATGAACATTATTTCTTCAAAATATTCAGTCGAGAACCGAAAGCTCGGCTCCGCCGGGAGGAGGGGCGGGGAGGGGCGCGGCGGGCCGGACTCACCTTCTCCATGGGCGAGAGCGGTCGGCGGTCGATCACGTCGTCCGCGGACAGGTTCGTCTTCTGGGCGGTCTCGAGCGTGATGGAGGGGCGCGGGGGGGAGGCGGGCGCGGGCGCGGGCTCGGGCGAGCGCGCGGGCGAGGGGGAGGGGGAGTGCGTGGGCTCGAACGGGTCGTACGCGTCCGGCGAGGACGGCGGCTCCGGCGGCGTGTTGGGCCCGCGCGCCTCGTCCGCCGCCGCCCCCGCCGCGCTCGCGGGGGACGCCTGCCCCGCCGGCCCGGTGGGGGGCGCGGCACCCGCGGGAGAGGGCGCGGGGGGCGTCCGCGGCCCTCCCGTCGTCGTCGCCCCCGGCGCAGGGGGGGGCGCTGCCGCTGCGGGGGGAGCCGTTTCCGCCGGACCTGAATACAGAAATGTTTATGCTATACTATATGAAGTAGTCCGCGAATTTGCTCCATTGAAATAATTTTTTCAGTACTCATTTAAAACGCATGCAATTAATGTCCACGTGAAAAAAGCAGAGGTGGAAAGTATCGGAACGTTTCTCGTTTAGTGAAATTTAGTTGTCCAGCAATCGAATCCAAAATGTTTCTCGATCCCTTCGTATGTTGTGGCAGTATAGATTTTGATTTTGCCAGATTATAATAATATTCTTAGCCCTCAAATTGCGTATAATGGTGTGATATAGGTATACCAAAATAAAAATCTGATGGCACAAAAACAACGCACAAAAACTGTCACGTCAAAGTGTAATTTGTTGTGAATATTTGTGAAAAGAAGCTGAAAATTAACGATTTTTTTTTTTATTTTAAAGCGTGTTTTTGAATTGGTCAATGCATGACATGAGAATCAAAATTCACCACAGCGACAACCAGACGGCATATTCTCAAAATAAAAAAAAAAACGATGTACTATGTCAAGTGGGTGCACTATGTCCTTGAATAGGTATTTTTAAAATCATTCAAATTTTACCAATCAAATCTTCCTAAGGAGCCCCGACTAAGAGTAGTTCTGTTCTATATTACTTAATAGAATTCTAAACTACTGGGCTTGTTTCTTTCTTTTTAGTTACTATTTAAGTTAATTATTTAATGTATTTTTTAAAATTCGTTTTTACGGGTCGTTTAGTCGGATTTTTTGTTTTTCTTTTTACTAAATACATTTTTGTGCATACAAAAATAATAATTTTTATCTGTCTGTCTGTTAGTTCTGGCTAATCTTAAAGCGTTAAGTCGCTTGAATAAATTTTGAAGCGACTTTCACTAGAAGTTGACTTATGTAATAAGGATTAACTAAGACTCATGGGTCGATGCAATTCGACCGATATCAAATCGATCATCGATTTAACTTACATGTATCTAATTCGACAAATTCATCGGAGATCCGTATATCAAACAACTATTTCTAAATTCATTATATTTTTAATTATGAAGTGTGTCTGTTTACGGTTTCGCGTGCATATGTGCAATTAGTTTGAATGTTTGATCTGCGATTGTTAAAATTCATCCTCGGTGGAAAATACACAACAATCCTCGCGATTTTCAACAATTTAAATTATTACGTTCCCGTGTAAAGACTTTACAAAACGAGTGTTATAAAACATACATCAGCTTCCCAGAGTCGAGAATTATAACTGCACCTAAATACTTTTGGAGCTTTATTAAATCAAAGTTTGGTATTAATAAACCCCCTCTTATGTGAGCTTCGGTGACACATCTTCCACAGATCTTTTTAATTACTATTTTCACTCCATATTCGTTCCTAGTAGTAGTCCAGTAGATTTATCTGCCTTAAACTATGACTCGGGCCATTTACAGTCTTGCGCTAATATTTCAGATATCAATATAACATCCGATATTGTCGAATAATATCTCGAACGAGTCGACGTCAATAAAGGCGCTGATGTGGACGAGGTGCACCCATTATTTATATCGAAACTATCACAAGAATTAACCTTTGTATACATGGTGACCTATTGCGATGGTTATGTTCTTATATTTATATTACAAATCTAAGTCAAGCTGTGGCATTGAAGGGTTACACTTCTAGATTCCTAGATATGGACCGTTTATTTTGAAAGTGACTTAAGTCCATTTTTGAGAAAAATTAGCTATCACGTAATTCATGCTTAATTTAATGTAATTTTTTTATATATGACTAGTCCGTGTTTAATTTCTCAAAAAAACCCCATGTTTTGTACAACGTAAAATCGATCGGTAAATGAAATTGCATAATCATCGATTATGAAAGTGGTGTAAGTAAGGTGTAAGTAGTAAGTACCAATTGACAGAGGTAGGTGGCATAACAGATGGATGTTGATCAGTGTTTTGTTATTTTTCATATATTTTATACTAGCTGTGTCCCGCGGTTTCACCGCCGGACGATTTGCATTGTTTCCCCTGCGTGTTTCCACTACTCGTAAGTTAAAAGATAGATATTAAAAAATTTGAGAAATGTATTAGAAAATGTACAGCGCATAACCTGTGAGAAGAAAATAAATACGACAAGGCTGTATGACTTCGTATCTTGCCCCTATTTTGGCGAATTAAAAAAAAACAACAGTAGCGCCATCTGTTAGCAGAAATTTCCGCAATCTTATTAAGATTTTTCTAACTTTACATTATTTAGGAGTTGAATTTTCAAATAAAATGTAGCCTATGTACTATTCCAATTCATACTCTAGCTGTGTATTAAATTTGAAACCAATATATTACGGACTTTTGGCGATACCTTTACAAAAAAAAAAGTTATAAACTTTCAGACTTATAATATTTATAGGATTACGTGTGATATTACGTGTCAAGAGGTGCTAATTTAGGTTAGTTATTTTATTTTTTTGTTAAAATGGCTAGCTTCATATTAACATCAGATAGTGATACAGGTAAGAACAAATGGTAAACCACTTTTATCTTAAAACAACTACAAATATTTACTTCATTTAATTATAAATAAATTCACACAAACATAAAGCCCATGAATATAAACAGAAGAATAAGCTTAGATTCAGAGGATAAAAATAATTCCGCTAGGAACAACAAATTATCAAATCGAACAAAGACAAGAAGAATTATAGAGGTAGAATCTTCATCAGATGAAGATACTGTTATTGAGAACATGGATTCTGCAGAACAAAATAAAGCAAAATATTTGAAACAAATAAACAAAATTAAGCGAAATATTGGACAAAAGTACTATACAAAAAGAGGAAAATTCATTCCTGCAAAACAACTTGAATCCAAAAATTGTAATTGTTCGAAGAAATTTATAGAACGTATTAATGAAGCACAACATATGGAAATTTTTGATAAGTTCTGGAATATAGGTGATTTTTATCAGCAAAATGTATTTTTATGTGTTCAACGAAAATCTGTCAATAGAAGACGGTCAAGAAATAATTCGGGCACTAAAAAAGTATATGCTTATAAGTTTTACCTAGTCACTTCTGGTGGAAACATTTTAGTATGTAAGAAGTTTTGTTATTAATACTTTCCAAATATCTACTGGACGAATTGATCGTATCCTAAAATCGCATGAGAACGTTCCGAATGACAACAAGTTGAGCTCAGTTAATGAATGGACATACAGGAAAATCTTTAAACGAGATTTTAAGTTACGCTTCCATTTGCCACGTAAAAATACCTGTGCGAAATATGATATCCTTAACATGAAAATTAAGACTAGAACGACGACTTAAATGACGACAAAAAAATGGTTCTTATAGTAAGACATGACGTTCACTTGCAAAATGCTGAATAATCAAGAAAAGCATTACAAGAGGATAAAATTCTAGCATCAGAAAATCCAGATAAATACTTTGCTTTCACTTTTGATTTACAAAAAGCCTTACTGAAACGAAATATATAAGTCTTAAACGAGGGTTTTCACAATTTACATAATAATAAAGTTAATATGTACGTGTGGGACGAAACCATGAGCTTCTAGGGGATCGCAAGAGGTGGCTTCATGTTGTTTGAAGCACTTAGAAAATGGAACGACCCAAAGCCTACAGTGACATGTGTACTGGGCAAAATCAAAATTTACAAATGGCATTGATGTGGTTGAAGGTTGTCCAGTCGGAAAACAGCATTGAGATAATTGAACACAAATTTTTACTCTCGGGGCATTCATACCTTCCGAACGATACAGATTTTGGCATCATAGAAATGGCATTGAGAAAAATGAATTTTGTGTACAACAAGATTACTATCACACACAGGATAAATTCATTTTATATGAAATGACATTTAAGGAAATATTTACCTATAAAATATTGTATTATTCCTTTGTTTGATCTCTATTAGAATATGCATGCGTTGTTTGGAACCCTCAATATGCTATTCACATTGACCGAATTGAAAAATACGAAACAAATTTTTGAAATCTTTAGATTATCGAACAAGTCGCTGATTCTTAGTCAGCTGGAATAAGCCTCAGTGGTTTGGTCACCACAATATAATGTCCATGTTGATTTACTGGAATCTATACAAAGGCGTTTCCTTAGAACTCGCACGTTAAGATTCAGCCGCAAAAGAGAGCTCACTAATTATGATGAGCGTCTCTGCTTTTTCAAGTTAGAAGCTCTCGAGGATAGACGAAAGGTACATGACCTCATGTACCTACATAAATTTTTTTGTGGCTCTATAAATACCAGTGTCTTATCAGAAATAGGCTTCCGAGTCCCTAACAGATCTGCCAGACGAGAATGTCTCTTCTCAGTGCCATTTCTTAATAATAATGTTTCCTTCCATAACCCTATACACAGAATGTGCCGTGAGTATAACGCGTTGTTGGATCGACTTAATGGTGAGCCTGACATCTGTCATTCATCTATTAGTAGTTGGAAGTACTTTTAAAAAAAACAGCGACGTTGAGCGCTGTTTAAACTGTAATTTAACGCATTTGTTTGTTAATGTTGTTGCCATGATTATGCATGGTGTTTACACATATGTGTGGAATTGCAGCCTACATCTAATTGCTTACTTTGCTTGATTATGTATATTGTTGTTATTCTGTCTTGTGTAACAATTAAATAAATAAATAAATAAATTTCTTCGTTGACTATGAAAGGTGCATCTAAAAGGCATAATATTGATTCCTTACAAAATAGACGTGTTTATCTGGATGTAGTTTTCCTTTACAAAATAATAAACAATTATGTGGACTCATCTTGATTATTAAAGATAATAAATTTTAGAATCCCTAGAGCCTCCTTACATTCTAAAAACATTTTTCATTGTTCACCCACTGCCACAAATTAGGCTGGGAACACTTTTATAAGACGCTCCTGTGGATTTTACAATGACAATTTAAATGACGTTGACATTTTTTCGCTATCACTAATTCAATTTAAACGAAAAGTGGGAGATATTATATTTAAAAATGAATAATTATAGAGAATTTTTGAGAATATTGTGGAGAAGCTGTTTGTTCGATGTGGAGGTTAAGTTTATTCGATGTCATCACTATTGTTAATAGTTAGCAATTAAATGAATTTTGTTAGTATTTAGTAATGGAACTGTCAGGTCTATTAGTTAAATAAGCTGTGATTGTATTTAAATTGCAATTTGTTTTCCTAAATAAAAAAAAAATTAATGGCCTCATTACTCAACTATCGTGTATGAAAAGGAGAGGACCAAGATGTGAACCCTGAGGTACACCCGAAGGAACAACAAATTCCGACGAGAGGTCACTTTTTAACGCAACTAACTGCTCCTCCTGCTCAAATAACACTTGACACACCTTAACAAGTTACCGTGTATACCCAAAATTTCGAGTTTTTCACATAGTAAGGAGTGATTCACTCTATCAAAGGCTTTTGAAAAGTCTGTATAAGAGTGAACTCGTCCTCTTTTAGCAAAAGCACTGCATAAATAACTTGCATTCTAAAAGATTAGACGTCGATGACTTATTTTTTAAAAAGTCATGCTGATTATCACGTAGTAATAACTTAAAGTCATATGAGGCATCGTATATAAAGCTTTCAAATAACTTCGCAAAACAGGACAACATACTAGTAGGACCATAATTATCACAAATCGATTTACTTATTACATAAGATGCCCAAAGGTAACGATGTTGTATTTACACATCGCTTAAGTATTACTGGAGGAATTCCGTCCGCACCGGCACCTTTAGATTCATCCAGTTCTATTATTTTAACTTCTATCCGGTCTTGTTATTATTTTAACAACAAGACCGGGTGAAAAATATGAACCGGGAATAGACTCACCCTGCTCGGTGTCGCTGAGCACGATCACGTTCCGGGGCGAGGGCGTGAGCTCGCGGAAGGGCGAGCGCTCCAGGTCTATGATGGCGACCGGGCGCGCCTCCGCCTCCTGCCGCTGCAGCCGCCGCCGCCGCCGCCGCTCCTGGCGCCGCGCCCGTCGCGCCCGCCGCCCGGGGGACCCGCCCGCGCGCTCCTGCTCCTTGAAGCTCACGCTCACCAGGATGTTGTCCCCCGACGTGAACACCTCCTTGCACGGGCCGGCCGCGGAGCGCGCGCGCTTGTGCCGCGGCCGCTCCTCGCGCCGCCGCCGGCCCTCCTCCTCCGGCGGCGGCGACGGCTCCGGCGGCGGCGTGCGCGGGGACAGCAGCCGCGAGTCCACCGACGCCGGGGACCACGCGGGGGCCGGGGGGCCGCCCGCCGGGCCCCCCGCCGAACGCGCCGCGCTCCGCCGCCGCGCGCGCCGCCTCTTCGGCGACTTCCGGCGGGGCTCCGCGCGCTTCTCGGCGGGGCGCTCGGAGCGCGCGCGTTTTCGTCTCTTTCCGGTTTTAGATTTGGCCCGGGGGCTCGGCGACCGCTCCGGCGAGCGGCGGCGTTTCCTCGCCCTCTCGGCGGACCGGCGGCGGCGCCGCTCCGGGGATCGGCGACGGCGGCGCGGGGACGGGGAGCGCGGGCTGAGGGAGGCGCGCGCGCGGGGCGGGGACGAACTCGAGCGGCGCCGCGCCGGGGGCGAGGCGGACCGCCGCCGGACCGCGGGGGACGAGCGGCGGAGGACCGGGGAGCCGCGCCGCGGGGACGGCGACCGGTGGCGGAGCGACGACGATCGCCGGCGGAGGGACGGCGAGCGGCGGCGGAGGGAGGGGGAGCGGCGGCGGAGGGAGGGCGAGCGGCGCCGGAGAGCGGGCGACGGGCGCCGAAGGGCGGGCGACGGACGGCGAAGGGAGGGCGACCGTCGCCGCGGGGAGGGCGAACGTCGGCGAGAAGAGGGCGAACGTCGCGGGCGCGGCGAGGCGGAGGCGCGGTGGAGGGGCGGCGACGCGGGGGAGGGGGAGCGGGAGCGGCGCGGGGAGACGTCGCGGCCGAACGGGTCCTTGGTCTTCCGCCGCTTCTCGGTGACGACCGTCCGCACGTCGTACCGCTCGAGGTCCTTTCTCTTCTCCTTCCGTTTGCGCTTCTTCTCGGCGGCGTCGCTCGAGTCGCGTCTCTCCCTATCTTTGTCCCTGTAGTTTCGCTCCTTGCCGATCTTGCTCAACTTTTTGAAACCGATCTCGGTCTTCTTCGTCTTGCTCTTCGTCTTCTCCTTGGCGTCCTTCTTCGCCTCGCGTTTCGAATCTTTCTTTTTCTTCTTCTTCCCCTCGTCGCGGTCGCGCTTCTCGGCTATCTCGCCGTCCTCGGCGGAGGCGGGCGCGGGCGCGGGGGCGAGGGCGGGGGCGGGCGAGGCGCGCGCGTCGTCCGAGAACATCTCGTTGCCCTCGTCTTCGGATATCATCTCGGTGTCGAGCCCCTCGATGCCCTTCTCCTTCTCGGTCTCGAGCGAGGTGTCCTTCGACTTGTTCTCGTCGAGGCACGGCGTGTAGCTCCGCTCGTCCTCCGTTTCGCTTATCGACTCGGTCATCTTTTCGAGAGCTTCCTCGGTTCGGTCCCCGGAAGCTCTCCTCGGTCGGCGAGCGGGGTCCTCACCGTCGGATATCTCGTCGTCGGACTCGCCGGCGGCGGGCGGCGGGGCGGCCGGGCCGTCCTCCGTTTCACTCCGGGGAGATTCGACGAGAGCTATCTCCGGCGACTCGTCGTCTTCGGGTGGATCTCTTTCGGAAGCGGCGAGCGGGGAGGCGGCCGCAGATTCGGCGTCCTTCTCGTCGTCGGAGTACGGGACGACGGCGGCGCGGTCCTCGTCTCTTTCGGGAGATTTCCGCTTTTCCGATTCGAAATCGACGACCGGCGTCGCCTCCCGCGGGCGACCGTCGGGCCCGGCGGCCGAGCCGTCGTCCTTTGGCGCGTCGCCGTCGCCCCGGGCCGGGTCCCGGTCCCGGTCGCCGGCGCTCGCCGCGTCGACGTCGTCGGCGGGCTCCTCCTCCTCCTCGTCGTACAGCGTCACCTGCCGCTTGATCAGCGACGGGGCGTTCAGCTTGATCTTGATCGGGTTCCGCGGGTTGGTCGTTATCGGGCACCTCTTGGAGACCCTCTCCTTGTACTCCTCCTCCTGCCTGGTGCGGGGGTGGGGGTGGCCGGTAGCGCGGGCGGGCGCGGGAGGGGCCGGCTCCGGGCCGTCGTCGTCCTCCTGAACGAGGTCCGCCAGGTCGTCGGGGGCGGGGGGCGGCGGGGGCTCCGCGACGGAGGCGCCGCCCTCGCTGGCGATGTGCACGCTGGTGGCCGAGTAGATGGAGAAGTTGGGGCAGTCCCCGTCCGAGTCGTCGTCGCTGCGCGCGGGCGGCGGCGCCAGCAGCCCCCGGTGCTCCCGCAGCACCTGGCGCACGGCGCTGTGCAGCACATCCGCGGGCACCTCGGCCGCGGCGGGCGGGGCCGGCGGCGGGGGCGGGGGGCCGGCGGGGGGCGGGGGCGGCGGCCCGGCGGAAGGCGACTCGTCGTCGTCGTCGTTGGTGGGCTCCGTGGGGTCGTACTTCTCCGTGTCTATGACCAGGCCGGAGTCGCTGCGCTCGTCCTCGGATCGGTCGAGGTCCGATGTTTTGTCGAAAGCGAAGACGGGGGGCTCCGGCAGCGGCCGGTAGGGTTTCTCCGCTCGCGGGGGCGGGGCGGCCGCCATGCGCATGTCGAGGGGGTCTTCGGAGAGCCGCGGGCGGGGGGGCCCGGCGCCCCACGCGCCCCTCTCGGGGGGCCGCATGTAGCGGCGGTCGGATGGCACGTCGGGGCCCGGGAAGGGGCGGCGGCCGTACCCGGCGTGGTCGTCGTCGTCCCGGCGCGCCCCGTTGGCGGGGTAGGCGGGGCGCGGCGGGGCCCCGGGGTCCCCGTAGGAGGCGCGATGGAAGCCCCCGGTGGCGTGGTCGCGGTGGTAGGTGCCCCGGTAGCCCCCGCCCCAGCCGCCGCCCCGGGCCTGGCCGGGGTAGGAGGGCGCCTTCCTGGCGGCGTCCTCGCCCTTGGTGAGGTCGACCCTGGGGGCGGCGGGACTCCTCGGCGGCTCGCGTCTCGTGGGCGCCTGCAGTTTGATGTTGACGTTCCCGTCGACGGAGATCTCGACGACCGAGTGCTTGGAGTGCAGCAGGGTCTGGCTCTCGAGGATGCTCGAGAGGATGTCCGGAGCGGCCGCCGCGTGCGGCGGGGACGGAATGCTGATCATCTTTCTTCTCGCCTGAAAAAGATCGAAAGTTGGGTGTCATCTCCTCCTCTTCCTGTCTGTGTCCCCGTTTAGACCGACTGAAACGGATCTATTCGTTTTTCGATGAAACATTTTTCGGTATATTCTGTTGAATTAAATTTTCTTAATGAAATAACGTTCTTTATGAATAATTTAAATTTGTTCTAATCTACTTCAAACGGCCCGTCTATTTTTCTTTCTCATCAGTTCATTTTAATCGACTTCAAATAAATAAAAAAAAGTTTTAAATAAAGTATAACCAGATATGTAGGGTGACTCGTGCCCCGAGCGAGAGATGATAGCCTAAACATTCAATCTTCAGAAGTACATTGTCAATCAATCTCTCTGTATGGTGAGCATCCGGGAACTATAAGACTTTTTTTTATATATATAAACTTTTGTTTTGGAAAATTAAAATATGGTTTTAATGAATCATGTTGTTTATTATTTGTTTTCCAAATAATCAGGCTCACTTCAAATTGTAGACAAGAAGTAGTTTTAAGTGTGATTTTTATTTTGCATGTACTCAACGCAGATATGGAATTTATCTAAATCATGTTTAATTCATTTTTTGTTTTTTATTATTATTTTATCTTAGCCAAAAACTGATTGCAATGTAGAATTTAGTTATTACTTTGTGATATTATAAGTTATCAAAAGCGATCTTCTAATCGAATCTGTTTTTTTTTTACCTATAAATTAAATGGAACTCATCTATTTTTAGCATGCAAAAATTATGTTACTCTCCAAAGAATAAGTGGTCAATTCATTAGTGAAGTTTTAAAACGAAAGTTATGTAGGTGGTAAAAAATACAATTTAATAAATGTTTCCTTCCGAACCTTAAATAATTAACGGTATCTGGACATCGTATAATTTAAGTATCGAACTACCTAAAAAGTCGTTTGTTGAGAAAGAAAACTAGTCGATCCATTTCATCGATCGGTTCAGTAAAATATATGTGATCGACCAGTCGGTTTAGTCCCGTTAGTTTATATCCCGGATTACCTGTCGGAGGGCCCGCAGCGCGGCGGCCCTGGGCCGGGCGGCCACCGCGACGGCGGCGCCCTCGAAGCCGTCCACTTCCTCCTCTGAGAAATATTCGAGCCGGTGCGGGTTCCCGAACAGGCTGAGCGCGGGGATCCCGGCCCGGTGCCGGCGCGCCGACAGGTCTTGGACGACGTCCCCGGCGGAGGCCGCGCGGGCCGACTCTTGCCGTGGATCGGTTTTTAACGTCGCCAGTTTGGCGCGAACGCTCGCCCGCACGTGAGCGCGCCTCGCCGCCGTTCGGGGTTGTCGCTTTTTTACCTAATGAGGAAACGATATTTATATATTTTAAAAAAGACCTATTTATTGTTTTATAAGAAATCTTATTATAATTTGCACACGTACTCTTTTTTTCTTGATTCTCCGCCTCACCGTCTTCGTGATAGGAAATTTACCATTTTCCTGGACTTCATATTCTATAAGGAGAGTTTTCGTTCTTCTCCTCTTATATTTTCTTCTTTGAGTCCCCGTAGTCCTCCTTCGAGTAGCGGACGTGTGATTCTGACTTCTGGTCGTTTGTCTTCCTCGTGATGTGGACTGTGCGTTGTCAACCGCGGCGCTGCCCCGGTTGCCGGAGGAGGTGGACGGCTCGTTTCTGTTGCTCCTCGAGGACCTCCGTATGTAGCGCGGTTCCCGCATCGGCAGTTGTAAGGGTCCGTGTGGCATGTCGAGGTCGACGATACTGGAGAATAAGTCGTTCACTTCTGTCAAGTGGATCAGGTCGTCCTCGATGATATTTCTGCAGTTGGGACAGAACCACTGATCGACCGGAATCTGAAACAACATTTAGTAGATACTTCACCTCAATCGTTTTTATTTCTAAATTATACAATAATAAAAAAAGCACAGGTTTGCGCAAACGTAAATTAACAATTATTTTCTTAATTGATGCTTGTGTGTAAAAATAAATAAAGTGTATTTTCTTGCGATCTATTTATTGAAATAATAATGATAACAGACTTAATAGAATTAAAATGAAACACTAATAACGTTACGTAACTTCAACAATGCAAATCAATAATAAAAAATACCCATAATTTTAAATGGATGTACTTGATGGATAGACAGCAAATTATCAACATTTTATTAAGAATTAACCGCAAGTCTCCCCGTTCTGTAATGTTTAATCTGCTCCTTTTTTTTGTTAATAGGTTTGTAACGACACTAAAACTTTTTTCGACAAGGTATGACGAGGGAAACGCTATCAAGTTCTCTCGCAATTTACCACAGCCCTGGATATATTTCTGGTATTTCTGCCTGCAGCCAAAATCTTTGATAGCCTTTTTTAAATTGCACGCTCTCTTCATTGGTGCTGAGCTCAAGTAGTTCCTCTTGTAATATCACATCCGCCACTTCCGTTTCATCAAATGGATTTATGATCCATGGTGGTATTTCCATCATCAAAATATCTTCAAATCTGTTTTTGAAGTCATCATGCAGCGTATTTAAATGTTGAACTTTTATCTGAATATCTTCATCAAGACATGCTGTATGTGACAAGTTTGGAAACAGTGAGAATTCGCGCCGACTAATATTGAATTCGCGCCGACTAATATTTTGCTTCATAAATTTCAAATTTCCAAGAAAAGCCGAAATTACATTCTTTGTTTTTATTAAATTTAGGCTATCCCCTTGTAACTGCAAGTTAATGTCATTAAACATTTTGAACAAATCCGTCAAATACTCGATGTCTGCTTTCCATTTGATCAAGTATTCTTTTAAATTTGGGTCCTTACTTTCCAGAAACTTCAAAAAGTAAGTAAAACATTGTTAAACACGCACCTTTCGACAACCAGCGTACTTCAGTATGTAAAAGCAATCGTCGCGTCTTCATTTTCGTCGCCCAATTGGGCAAATAAACGAGTATTCAACGCACTGTTTTTTATTTTATTAACAGCTTTAGTCACAAGTTGAAGTGATTGATGCAATCTATCTCTCAAATTTTTCGCTACCAGGTGTTGTCGGTGGATGACACAGTGTATTGCGGTTACTCCTGGTATTATTCTTTTAAGATGGCTTATAAACCCACGATAACGTCCGACCATGGCAGGAGCTCGCATCTGTTTCCACCGAAATGTTGTTTCTAAATGGAATCGATTTTTCCTAAAAAAAATCACCCTGTAGCTTAAATATTGATTCGCCTTTAGTGTCCATCTCTAAAGATTTCGCGATTATTTCGCGGATTTCTTCGTCCATAACAAATATATGCCAATAATAATGCTTCACGCTACACGCAAACATAACAAATATAATATTATTACAGTCAAATAGGCAAGAAGGTACTTACTTTTCCGGGACTGGCAAACTATGACATAGATTCACTCACACTTTTCTCTTCAAAATTCCGGAAACAAATGAGTGTAAGTTTTTACAAGTAACACACGCTGATCTTCTTACAATCCTACACTAATTCTTATAAATTTTAAATGTTACATATTATATTGATTGTATAACACTTGTATAACATAGATTTGTTAATTAATTTTTTATATTTAATCATATAATGCTAAATTTGATCAGGAAGCTTGTTACTATCTAGGAGCCCTTTCAATGACCCTTTCCTCTAGACAGCCATTTAACAAATACTAGGATACAATGAATTTTAAACAAAATATTAAGTAACTATTATATATGACAGATTTTGTCCACTTTGTCCCTGGCACTCTGAGAATTCAACAATGTTCTGGCAACCCTGGGTAGATTACCTGAACATTGCTGAACAGCCGAAAGAAATATTTTTGCAAATATTTAAACTTTCTATAAAGATGAAAATTTCTTCTAATTATTATACTTGATCAATTTTACATTCACAACGCTACACTGAAAATATTCTCAATGCAAACTATTACTATTACTTTACATTATTTTGTAACAGAATAATGTCAATCGATGAAATAATTACTACTTACATAATATGAATACACAAGAATAAAACTAATACATTTAGTTTCAATTGATTGACATAAAAACTGTTTCTTTTGTATTATTTTACTTCAATATAAAATATTACAATAAAATACTAAAATTTATTTATTTATTTATTAGGTAACACAACAGACATTAATCAAAATATATATGAAAAATAAGTAAAAACTGTGTAGTACTAAATTAATATCCTAAAGGTGTTTACACAATGAGATATGATAAAGAAAAAGAAAGAAACTATTATTATTATTTTTCACTAATATGAAAGAACACAGAAAGAATGAGTATAAATCAATCTGGATGATTAAAAAGATGCAACATTTAGGTCTACCACAACTTTCCCAATACATTTTTTGAATTTAAAGAGATTGGCATTAAATATGTCTAATGCCTGATTAACTGGGAGAATCTCATTGTCATCAATCATCAATATTGGCATTGTTATTTATTTTGCTATTTTAGAGATTACATTTTCAAATTGACTTTTTAGGATTGATTAGCACGGAATGGTACATACGTGATTTTTTTTATTGTATATCATGATCACTTACCCACTAACTATTGTTGGTCAGAGGTTTTCTCAATGGACAAAACTAGTAAATAAATTCTGAAACACAGTAGTATAAATAGTTACCTCATTTAATGGTGGAGTAAGACACTGCATGTGAAACCCGAGGTCACAACCATCACACAGCAACATACTCGCTTCATTGTCAGTGTTGCCACAGATCTGACAATAATATTGCAATATTAGTACTACAATAACTATAAACTGTCAGTTATCGTACAAACTGAATCAAAATTAAATAACTGAATGAACCCGTTTTAGAAATATCAGTTAAAAGCATAGTTCACAGGTGGTTGCAGCACCAGTGACACAATACATCAGACACAATCCAATGGAAAAATATATTCAGATAAAGCAGACTTCATATAAAACTGATTCAAATAAACAAGGGTTTGTTATAAATAAAATATAAGTAGGAATAAACAAAAATTATTGTATATGTTATGATGTTTCAGTTTACCTCGCATACAGTAGGGTCTTCTACTACCAACATGTCAACTGATGGTCTACGTTGCACAACTTTTACTGGTTCTGTACGAAGGACACGTCCCCCAGCACAAGCCTTTACAATTATAGATTCAAATCTGATTCTGTCTACTGGACATGTATTTACATTTTTAGCCCACTCCATGATACAGTCCAAGCAGAATATGTGTTCACAGCTCTGTGGTGTCCCTATTTCTTGTTCGGTAAAACGCATCAGACAAATTGAACATTTGTCAGAATTGCCTTCTGAACTATCTGAAGCAAACCCAGAAGGCGGTTTGGAGGAACCAGGGGCAGGTTTTGAAACTTCAGAATGGTCCGTTGCCCATCCCGATGTGTCACTCTCGGTCTCGGAATCCCTAAGCTTAGGTAGAGTACGTTTGCGACGCGTTCCAGCGACTATAACCGAACTACCACTACTTTCGCTTCCAGTGTCGCTGGATACCTGAAATTTTAACATGACACCATTAACACAATCTGACTGAAAACGAATAATCACATTGCAGTTCTAATATTTACCACCAATCGTCTTCTACGTGTCCCCGCCACAGCTACATTTTCATCACTGTCTGAACCAGAACTAGACGACATCACGACCACTCGTTTAATCTTTCGTTTAGGTCTTGGTGCCGAATCTTCACTACCTTCGTCACTCATCTTGGCTTGAGATGTAAACAGCGAATAATGAATGAAGTAGTGTCTCAGTCACCACGACACGAAGCACTATAAGCAAAGGTATGAGCGACCTTTGCGAATATTTTACTTAACATCTGAAACTTAAGTTATATTGTCATTCAGTAGAGATTGCAGAATAATACGTAGAAATGTAATTTAATAGAAGTAATATCATTGGCTAGAATAGAAATTTAATATTTTGACAGCAAGCCGCTACCGATGGTTAGACGGCCATTTTTAATATTATTTTTTTTGCAAGTACGCTTGTTGTAATAAGTATGTTATGAGGAACTTACTTGTAAAGCCAACTTTTCTATTTTAGGTGATTATTACGCACAAATAGAAAAATTCTTGTCCCAGCTGATAAAAAAAAAATAACTATTAGTTTTCGGCTATTTATTTATTTCAAATAGCATTAAAAGAAGAAAATAGAAAAATTATTGTCCCAGCTGATACAAAAATAAGTATTAGTTTTCAGCTATTTATTTATTTCAATTAGCATTACAAGAAGTTGTCGACATCCTTTTTTAACACGTTTATTTTTGACACAAATATCAAACTAAACCAAGAACTTTGTAAAGCTAACTACAAAAATATCCAAACTTCTTGAAATAAACACTTTCACGTCATTGCCTGCCACAGCCAACTGGTTAAAACAGCCGTTTTCTGATTGAAACAGTATGACAATTGGTACCATTCAACAAGACAGCTAATTTAAAAGCCGCCAAAACGTTTATTAACTTTTTATTTGTTAAAAAAATAACCTCGACATATTAGTCTAACCTATCACTTGACCTACAAAAAAACTTCTTTGTTTATCATTTTATGTTGTTATTTAGTATCGTGGCACCAAACTTCAAAATCATAATAAACATACTATTACAGAGCTTAGCAGCGCGGTTCATCTACGCATTACTAGATCGTGTTATGTGCCAACGAATCGCGCTAACACTATTGAAACTACCTGTGTCATATAGGCATACATCGGTTCGGCGAGAAAGGAATAGTCTGGGTCTGATCTGGGAAAGAAAGGGACTGGTAGCTGTTCTAACACATTTGGTAAAGCCTCGAATACACCGGTAGGACCGAGTAAACACCTAGAATGTTCTAAACCCTAAACTAGTAGGACATTATAAATGCCAAGACTGAGCATGTCGCTACGATACTTTCTTGATTTCTCCTTGAAAACCCATCCGGTTTTCTTTCATGTATAAAAGTAAATGAGGTAGTATTTAAAAAAAAAATAGTTCCCGAAATCAAACTAGATGTCGCTACGGGACATTCTTGATTTTTCCATGACAACCCTTCCGGTTTTCTTTTATGTTTACAAGTAAATTAGTTTTCAAAACTCAATAAACAACTCATATTATATTTGTACTTTTTCGTATTTGTAATGATATCTTAGATTCGAACTTTTCAAATTTCACTTTTTTAATATGTTAGTTAAAAGGAATGGAAATGACAATAGTAAACTTCGTCATTATGTAACATCTGTGTAGTATGTTGTAACTTGCCCGAGGGTCGGCTAGTTTTTAGTATCCAAAGGGTTTTAAAGTATTTAACATATATTATACTTTACCATAGAATTAATAAGTACTACGTACAACTGGAATGCTAACTGCGATCTTTTTGACATATCAAAATGAACCTTAATGATATGTGAATAAAGTGTTTTTTAAATAACCATTATCTACATAGAGAAATGAGCTCAAGTGAGACATCTTTTTTCTTGGTGTGTCTCTGTCGCACAATTGCCATGTGAAATATTGTTGATATAAAGGTGGTAAATTCGTGAAAACTGTTTACAGAGAACAAAACGTTTTCTATATGAATATTATATTTGGCTTGTTTATAAGTTTACTAATAATATAAATGCAATAGCTTTTAGGTCCAGATAAATCAAAGTTTTTATATTTCACGACATTTCAATATTGTAGGCATGTTTTATTACCTTTACGTTACGCAACACTAGGTTAATTGAAGTATTCACGTGGCACCACAAAAGCAACATGGCGTTTTCTTTTTTGTCATATGGACTTGTTTTTAATGCTCTCTGAATTAAAAAAGTGCTTTAAATAGTATATTGGATTGAAAAATGGTAAACAATATATGTGCTGTGAGTGGGTATGGGAAAGAATCGTACCTGGCTGTGGATTATCTTTTCACAGGTAAGTATGTCATCAGTAGAAACTAGGGTGACTATACTTTACGTATAGAGATGTAAAGTACGTACGTACTATAAGCATAGACCCTATTATTGCCTAATTAAGTACTAAATTTAAAATTGTTGTATCACTTAACACTTTGGTTATTCACTATTTGCAAGTCTACCTACATTAAGCAAGCATGTGGAGGCTCATAAATGGGTATCCTTTAATAATTTTATTGGTCAGTAGGCTTATCGTTTGATCTATCTTTTGCAAATATCTATTTACACACCAAACCAAACCAAATTATTACTATAATAAAAAATATACATTTTAATTTAAATTTCCAGTTTGCCATCGGATTTAGAGTTAAAGAAAAAATGGTTGATACCTGGGAACTTACATGAAAGCTGTGTGGTTTGTACACTTCATTTCAAACCCAAAGATTACCGAACAGAGGCTCGAAAAAGGCTGAAATCAGAAGTGATTCCTTCAATATTGCCAAAGGTTCCTACCTAATATTAAAGCACTCATTTATAAACAACATTATATCGAAAATAATAAGTTAAAACAACAATTCATATTATAACTTATTTTTATGTACCTACCTAATTTCATTACAGATTTTTCCTGATAACAAAAAAAATAATGTGTTAAACGCCTTTAGTTATACGCCTGACTAAAGTCCTTCATGTAAGAAGTTAAAACTTGATATTAATACTAGGCAAAAATCAAAAGAAGAGACATGAAGATGAAGATTAATAATTTAAAGTCACTTTTAGCAGTTTTAAAAGAAAATTGTAAAAATTATGAAAAGGTACAATCTGTCATAACAAACTGTTTCCCAAATATTCATCAGCAATTGAACAAAAATAAATCCAACAAAGGCATGAGATTCTCATAATAAGAATGTCAACTTATGGCAAAGGTCTCACGGGGGGGGGGGGGGTGAGGTCTGCCTATGAAATTGCTGATTTCTATAGTTTCAAAATTTATTATTGTTGAGTTGAGATTGAATAAGAATTTTTTCTGCTTCATATTAATATTATTCAATTTCAATAATCAATATTTTCTTTTAATGTCCAATGTATTCAGGTAAGAATGGTTATACTACTTAGAAAGGGACAAACCAAGATTTATGACCTCTCACTCGGCGCGTGTTTAGACGCACAGTAAGCATTCTAGTTGTACGTAGTACTTATTAATTCTATGTACTTTACTCTTTCGTATATTAATTATATCTTTACTCTTTGACGTTGTACCTACTTCCTTCGTCTGTTACTCTTTGTCGGGAATTGTGAATGGAGGAGCCGCGATTTTGTTTTTACTTTTTGTTTCTCTTTATGTGATAAGGTATAATTTTAGTAAGAATTGCGTAAGAAATGACCGCAGAAAACGAACGTGAAATATATCATAAGTTAGAAGCCATGAAGGAAATCAGGTATTTTAATATTTGTTAAGCAAAGCTACAATATCGCACCTGTAGACTCGATCAATAAACACTATAGGTACCGATTTATAATAAAATTTAACATGGTGTTTCTACTCTTACTTGTTTTTAAAAAAGTTACTTCGTTGCGTTGCATTGAATTATCATGAATTTAATCAAAATTAAAAAATTGCTATACATACATTTCAGAATAAATATTCTTAAATCATATTTATCCCTATTTATGCGCTTTTTCTATTTGTTTACATTTCAATGTCGATATTGCAATTCAGGGCTCCGATTATTTGGCATATTATTATTATAATATTTTGATGAACAATGTATTTATTTCATTTCAGAAATAAGACGATTACTCTAGAGCGGTTAAAGCGTAGTATACTGAACGAGGTGCGTAGTGGAGACCAAGAAGGTAGATGTCTAGCTCAATACAAGAGAGAGATGGAACTGTTACAGCAGGAGAAGATGAGCCATGTTGAGGAACTCCGCCAGATACATGCTGACATCAATGCGGTTAGTATTACTAATGTTTTTTATTTTGATGATATTTGTGTCATATTGTGTTACATCTCCATTACTGAAAAGTATATGTACAATTGTTTCCTTGTAGATATTCTATTGCTAGTCCTTTTGACGATTAGTTCAAGATGTTTTCTAATGGAATAGCATATTAGATCATTCTTTTTGTTCTACATGTTCTGTTAATTTTAATCCTTTCAAGTGTGCATTTTCAATTGTGTAAATAATTAAAATAATGAATAAATATATTAATCATATTAAATGCCATCATAAATACATTTCTTTGATTATGTGATTATGGAATAACATAGACATATCTTAAAATTATTTTTTTAGAATATTATATTTAATTATACATAACAGTATTATAAGAACATACATACATTATAACACACATCACTCTATAACATTATCATAAAAAAATACTTGAGAAAGAAATAGTATTATGATTATTATAATTATCTTTAGGAATAAGAATATGTGAAGACTTTTGTAAAGTGTAAGGTGGGTTCTATAAATACCTTGTGTGTGTTGAGTGGTATGGAGAATGTGTTTGTTTGTACAATGGGATGCTATTGTTGACGTGTTGTTATTGAAGCTGCTATTGAACATCTTGTTTATTATCTTTGGGTTATTCTTAAGTGCAATTGAGACAAATATATATAGCCTCTAAATGGGTCTTATAATCTATAAATGACAGTGAATCTTTACTATTTTAACATAGGTCACCATGTTTAGCCACATATTCAGTACAAATTATTTTATTAAATAACAACTTAATTAAGCATTGCATCTAGTTAGTTGCAGTCTTCTCAATATTATTGATTTTTTAAAATTATTTGAGATGGTGTACATAAATAGATTAACATTAGAGTAATACTTATTTATGGAATCGCAACTAAATACCTTTTTTTTAAATATTGTAAATTTAAATGAATGCAGTAACTTTGAACAAATATGGTACATTGTGAATCGTTGTCGATACAGAATAAGAGGTCTACTCTGTGTCAACAGAGTTGGACAAATGGATGTAGCCTGTGCAGTCTTAATTTGAATTTAATTTTTAAGCCTAACATATAAAGGGTTATAGTGGAATGGAAAGAAAATATGGTTTTATATACCTCGGCGTGCTATAGTCTTTACATGAAAACAATCGTGTTCTTTTTATTGTAAAAGTATTTTTTTTTTATTCTGATAACATTGCAGATGGAAACTGTAATAAAACAAACAGAGGAGAGTATGACACGAAAGCTCTCGACAGCGTCACGGCTGCACGAGGACTACCGGCCGCTGAAGGCGGAGGTGGACCTGCTGCGGCGACAGTGCCTCGGCCTCGACCGCCTGCCGGATCTGCACGAGGAGGAGGGCAGCCCCATCACACCTGAGTCAGTTTCATTTATCACTTTACGTCTGCACCTCTGCACTAAATCTTTTACAGGGGAAGGAATTCACCGGGACATTCGACGTTATCCGATATGTACCTTACGATTATTCGTTGCGATTACGCTTTCCCGCGATATTCAGTTCGATAAAGTACCATAACCCGACCTTCGACTTCAGATGTTTGCATAAAAATTGACATCAATTGGCGGGTGTTGACGTTCTGCATATGCAGCCGGGACCGACTAGCTGGTAGTTCGTGTGCTGGACTGCTTGTTATATATGAAATAACGTGAATAATTATGTGTGATGGCAGCCGCTTCCCCCCCCTGGCGGGCGGCGCGGGCGCGGGGGCGGGGGCGGGCGGGCGCGCGGGGGCGGGGCCGGGCGCGGGGGTGGGGGGAGGGGGGGCCGCGTTCCTGGCGCCGGCGCCGCGCAAGCCGCCGCCGCCGCCGCCGGCGTTCAGGTCTGCTCTCGACCAAGATTTCATTACCGTCTCGCTGAGGTTCGCTTACTTTTATGTTATATTGTGTTATTTTCTCCCTCGCTCCTCGGATCGATCTATCAGCTCGCGACGTCGATTTGTAGCGTCGGATAGTATGGTGATGCTTCTAATTTTACCGATTTGAAAGATAATAATGACTCTAATGTCATGGATCCTAAATATCGCCGGCTGATAGTGCGGCCGCCTCACCTTGCTCCTCCCTGAGGCTCGAATCTGCTGAAATGGTGTTTGATTCCACTTTTTTATATTGCTAAGCGATGGAAATAATATCAGCGTCGGCATCTGTCGATATCGCTATGTAGAGTCGACTTCAGCACCCTCGCACCCCGCAGATTCAGTACCTGCATCAGCGACGACCGTAATACACATATCGTCAAACACACCTATTATTAACGAACTGTGTGTTATTATTTAAACTGATTCTGTTGTGTACATTTTTTATCTTATTAAATATGAATGTCTCTAATATAGCTTATTAATTTCATAATTTGTAAATGAAGCATCTCTTTATATTAATATGTTTTCCGAAGTTTACTCACAGGATGTGACTCGCCACGGGCAGGTTACGAGCTCTCATTTCCCGCCTGAACGTTACACAGTCTGCAATTATTTTATATATTATTATTACTTAAGAAAAATACTTTTAACGGTAAGAACGCAGCTGTGTGAAGTTCGGGTTTATTAATTTATGATATGATTTGGTTACTTTTTAAATGTTTTCTTTGTTTAATTTATTTATCGCTTTCTTAGTGTACTATGTCTTACATAAATTAATGATTTACACTCATTATGCGTGTAAACATGGATGCTTGTCATTATTATACTCGAAGTTGAATAAATTATTTTACTGAACTCGGATAGTTTTGGTTCGGGACTATAATGTTGAGCTACAATTTTTAATATTCGACATTTAATAATGATAATCTTTCTTTAAGACATTTATATGCAGTAGCGGACTAAGGGGCCGGAGGGAACTCTGGTCACGGGGGGCCTCCAAGTTCCCTTGATCAAATCATAAATTGGGGTTGTACTTCCTGCTTTAGGGGAGTTTAAACGCAATATCCAGTTTTGTGCCCGGTTGGAAAAGTTGTAGGTACAAGCGTGATGAGGTTAGTCCGCCACTGTTTATACTATGACTGAATATTATGACATTATAATGAAGTAGTGCTTAAAAAAAATTAAACGAACAAAACGTATTTTGATTATCGCTTTCTATTTTCGTTTGGTAATTTATCATACATTATAACTTCTACTAGGGAATATGCAAATTTTTTAAGGTTTTCATATGATAATTTGCATCTCTAATAACTGTATAAAACACCCGGCACTGTGATAATAATTTTTTTTAACAATAATAATTAAAAAATTGTAATCTGTTGTTTATTTTGCGACTTACATTGATATTATCCTATCTCTTTTTGAATCGGTCGCATATTCCCTATTCAAGTACTGATGTGTTTTGCACTAAATGGATGTCTTAATATTGTTATAACAGTAGTGTTGGTCAATTGTAGCATTTTTGTAATGGAAGCAAAAAAAAAAGCAAGTATAATATTTTAGGTTGTTACTTTAAGTTATGACCGGCTATAGCATACTGTACTTAATGGCATCTAATCTGATAATCTAATAACACCAGTTATGTTTAGGGGTTATGACACTCGGTCACGACTAGGGCATGTGATATTCGTCCAATTCAATTTCAACTATTGAATTTATTTCTACAAACAATTCGAATACAAAAATTTTAGGATACTAATAAATAATTTGAAATGAATGAAATGAAATGAAATGAAAATGAAATGAAATTTTTGTGTAAAGAATTATACCCTAGTGGTGACGAAGTGACATCTGACGTATTCCTCAATGTAACTAGCGCCATCTACTATTAGTACATCAGATTAGCTGCCATCGGTGCATTAAATGTACCGTGAAAACTTAATCGACCGTATCGGGTACAATTGCAGCAATTCCAGATGATATTCTCAAGTGTGCATTACAGATTGACAGACCGACACACGGTGGTTCTATTTGAGAAAAAGGTGGACATAGAAATAAAACTTCTAGTTTTGGATTGATTTTTTTATGTGCATAATTCTTTGTAAACCTAATACGCTTTTGTATGGCAATATTTTTAACACCCGGCCGCGCAATTTTTTTTGAATCGGTAATGAGTATTTGTTTTCATAGTATATGTAATAAGTTTAATGTTACAATAAGTATTGTATTTGATCAATATAGCATTCACAATGTTACAATGGAAAATATTCTTCACGTGATGTTTTTTTTCAGCATTTTTAACATGTATTTTTTAGTACCTGCATCACAATTATGTTAATGGACGGCCTCTTATGAAAAATGCTTAAAAATCCACTTTGCCTCATTCCATCTTAGAGTACCAGGGTCTAATAAGTTTATACTTGTATAGAAAAAGAAAATAGATTTATTAGTCCGACAATATACCTATGACAGAATAAGACACCCTGAACTTCAAAATAAATCGCGTGCGGTCACTCGCGGCCGGGTGAAATTTTTCATTCCAAAACTAGAATTTAAGTTCCTGTGCTCCTCGTCGATTACAGAACCATAATATCTAATAGCCTTATGAGGGCGTAGCGGTAAACTTCGATTGCAAATATGTACACGGTGTAAGTGTGTGTGTGTGCGTGTGTGCGTGCAGACAGCAGCCGCCGCCGATGAAGTCGTGCCTGTCGTGCCACCAACAGATCCACAGGAACGCGCCCATCTGTCCGCTCTGCAAGGCCAAGAGCCGGTCCCGGAACCCCAAGAAACCCAAGAAGAAATAGTCGCCCCGCGCCGGACCATCCACCCCCCTTAATATAAATAACACACAAACTCGATCACGACCCTACCTCGAGCCCCATCGGTTTTGATAATCTTTCTATCAATTTTAATTTCATAAAAAAACTTCATTTTGTTTAACGCTCGAACATTGAGTGCTCTTACGAGGTCTTACGAATAGCCCCCCCCTCTATAAATTGAGTCAGTTCGATTGTAAATTGTGATTGAGTGGGATTATGTGTGTATGATAGTTGTACGTTATTATTTTAAAATAAACGTTCGTGTACACAGTAGACGTAAGTACTTAATTAATATAAATAGTAAGGTAGAGTAGTTTGTGTATTTATTTATTAAAACATAATCGTAAGAATTAACCGGTGAAATCGCATCGTCGATTTAATATATTAAATATTTGTGTTCGGGCGATGTCCTGTCTGTATTTATTTATGTATGTATGTCTTATAGACACTATAGAGATAGACGATTTGTATATTGTATGAACTTGTGTTTCACGAATGGTGTTGTTTCATGTTTCTTAAATTTTCTCCGTTGCTAGAATAACTCTGTAAACGACTATCTCGGTTATTGCATCTTATTTGACGTAATTATTATTTATTAATTTCCTAACTATTAATTTTTAAGCATTTATTTATTACGTGTCTACTTAAAAACAATAGTCTACTCCTAAAAGTAAAATGTATAAAGCGGAGCTTCCAACTTGTATGTCGGTAGATTGTTTGATATTGTTTCTATCGTGTTTCTCTGTAAGTTCTATTGTCTGTTCGTTTGTACATTTTGTACATAATTACTATGAATTATAGATTTAAATCAAACTGTGTGTCTTACTGTTACGTTCTATGTTGTGCCAATAAATTGTGTCCTCAGTGAAGTACCCTTGCTGTTTTGTGCCAATTGTCCTACCTGTTAATGTCAGCGCGATCGAACTTGACATCGATAATGTTAGTATCGAAGCGTACTGGTACCAGTAAAAGTTGATAGATATTGGAATCTTCAAAATTAAGTCAGTTATACTTCTGGAGGTGTTCCGTAACGAAACAGATCATTGATAATTGGCTATACAAAGACAACACAACTGTGGGTAAAATTTTTATTGTCTATGGGCAAGGCGATTAGCTGTCTTCGTTCCAAATCCCCACCCTTAATCCTTGGGTGACGGTTTACTACTGTGATTTCAAATTGTTAACTGCGCGCACCTAATTTTGATTGAGCTTGGTGAATTGTTCGTTATCGAGAATAAGGACATTTCGGAAGAACGGTGGATCAGTGCCTATGGACTATATATCGTGTATGATATATTCGCTGGTAACCGCGTCGACGCACCCCGTTCCAGAACCCAGCCCTCGGAACCCGTGGCGGTAAAGGATCGCTTGCGGTGAGTCGCCAACCCCTGCTTAATATCGTACATAATTTCTTTTGATCCGTTCGAACCGGATTGCTATCTTTCAGTTGTGTTGTCTCTAAACAGTATTACGTACTTATTATCATGGATAGTGACGCAGCGAATTCGAAGCAGTCATCTTTGTTACGCAAAATGTCTGATGATGAATCGCCGTGTGAACAAGATTTATTCGAACGAGATCTTATTCTCGATGAGTTAAAACGAACATTACAGTTCGCAGCGACAGATGTCCAACAGTTTCGCTCGCGAACTACTGATTTAAATTCTCACCAACGTAAATTCAATAAAGTTCAAACTAAAATTGAAAAAACGTTAATCAAGTTAAGGTCTTTTAACAAAGAGGAACAGATTAAGATACGCAACGATTTCAATGATTTGTACTACGCTATTATCACTAATTTAAATAATTTAAAGAGGGTGGATGAAGAGCAACGACGTATGAGTCGTCCGTTAATAACGCCTTTAGTTCAGTCATCTAATTATAATAAGAATTTACCAACTTTGCCTTTGCCTAATTTCAGCGGCGATCCTACGGATTGGCCTTCCTATTTCGATTTGTTTCGATCATTAGTCCATTTAAACAGTGCCTACACAGAGGCGGAAAAATTCCGTTACTTATTACTTACGGTACACAACGAACCCCACAATTTAATTAAATCTATCCCTATTACAGACGAGAACTATTCGGTAGCTTTAAATATTTTGATATCTCGTTATGAGAATAAAAGAGTTATTGCCTCAAAACACCTTGACAGAATTCTCGACATCGAACAGTGTTCCGATAGATCGTCTCAAAGTATACGTAATTTATTAAATGTCTACCAAGAAAACATTAAAGCACTGGAGATTATGCACTTTCCCGTAAGCGAATGGAGTTTTTTGTTACTTAGCATTTTGTTACGAAAAATACCTATTAACACTCGTAAATCTTATGAACGTTCTTTAACTAATTCGTCCGACATTCCAAACGTTAGCACATTGATTTGTTTCTTAGAACGCGAAATATCAGCTGAGGAAATTATCTGTTCGACTAACAGCGGACAGTACAATAAATTATCTAGTGTGGCTAATGTGAATATGCGCCACCGTCACAATAATCGCGTAGAAAACCAGTTGCAGCAACGGCAACTTCGTTCGTTTGCTGCTAATGTCACACCAGTTTCAAAACCGTCGAATGATAATCGGTCTTATGAACAGAATCATAAGAATAGAAATTGCTTATGTTGTAATGCTCAACATACGTTGACAAAGTGTTCGCAATTTTTAAACTTATCCCCTCAAGATAGATTTGCTTTAGTTCGTAAGAAAAATATTTGTTATAATTGTTTGCATTTTGGGCATGATGTGAATCAATGCAATTCTAGTTTTGTCTGTCGTACATGTCATAAGCGACATCACACATTAATTCACTTTTCAAGTAAATCGTTACCGATTACTGATAATAAAATATCTGCAAATAATGCAGTCTCGCTCCCACCTTCAGTGGTAGCTGAGATGCCTGTAACCGCTACCACGAATGATCCGCAGTGCGTTGCTCCCGCCGGTGAGAACGTGATTCATAATTGTTGCGCGTCCAATGCCGCGTTCGCTCGTACGACTACGGTGCTATTGTCTACGGCACTCGTCGACGTATGCATAGGTGCGGTGAAAATAGCGACCGTTCGCTGCATTATAGACACTGGAAGTCAGGCGAGTTTTATCACTGAGGCGTGTGCGCAGCGTCTGGGTTTGATGCGCGGGCATGTTAATGTTTCTGTGTTCGGTATAGGCAATAGTGAAGCGGCGCGTAGCAAAGGATTTATAAATTGTAATATCGCGCCTAAGGGTAGATTAGAACCCTTAGTTCCGGTAAATCTTTTAATTTTAAACAAATTAATTTCACAAATGCCGAGTATGCAGTTACCGTACACTGGTTGGCCTCATATAAAAGATTTAAATTTAGCGGATCCCGCTTTTCATACGCCACAGCCAGTGGACCTGTTATTAGGAGCGGATATACTATCCCATGTGCTTTTGAGTGACGTCATTACGGGCTTACCAGGTTCACCGATAGCAGTAAATAGTATATTCGGTTATTTATTGTTAGGTAAACTAGATATTGTTTCCTCTCCGTCTCAACTTCAAGTTTGTTTTAGTTCATTTGACAATGACAACCTTCAGAGATTTTGGGAATTAGAGTCACTTCCTGAAAAACGGAGTTACACTCCTGATGAAGAAATATGCGAATCCTTTTTTCAAAAGACGCATATACGTGACGCAACGGGGCGATACGTGGTCGCTTTGCCTTTTAAGCCGGAGGCTCCCCCTCTAGGCGAATCCCGTCAAACTGCACTTGCGCGCTTTCGTAAGTTAGAGTTTCGTCTCGAGCGAAACCCGAAGCTTAAGGAAGACTATCATGCCTGTCTCCAAGAGTATCTGGATATGAAGCACATGGAGCCCGTTAAGGGCGAGCCGACATCAGGGGCCACTTATTATATTCCGCATCATTGCGTGGTCAAAGAATCCAGTGAGACCACTCGCACTCGAGTAGTTTACGACGCCGGGTGTAAAACTTCTAGTGGCTACTCATTGAATGACATTTTGTTGACAGGTCCTAAACTTCATTTAGATATAGTTAATGTTATTTTAAAATTTCGTATTCATTCAGTGGCCTTCACTGCTGACATCAAACAAATGTTTAGGAATATTTTAGTTCGAAAGGAAGATAGGGATTTTCAGCGCATTTTATGGCGGAAGTCGCCTGATGAGGTTATCCGTGATTATCGTCTTTCTACAGTCACATTTGGAGTGAATTGCTCTCCATATCTGGCTCTCCGAACTATCCAGCAATTGGCTATAGATGAGGCTTCACGATTCAAACTTGCTTCTAAGGTTTTATTAAATGATGTTTTCGTAGATGACGTCACTTCCGGTGCCTCTACTGTTCATGAAGCTTTAGTAGTTCAACAAGAGCTTATTAATATTTGTAAGACGGCGGGTTTCGAGCTTCGAAAGTGGCATAGTAATTCACCAGAGGTACTTGCTGCAGTAATTCCCCCAGATTCTCATGGTGAGCGGCTCGATGAAGTCCGATTCGCCGAAATGGAACACGATGAACAGGTCAAGGTCCTTGGACTTCAATGGAACCCTATTTCCGACTGTTTCAATTTTAATGTCAAAATATCACCTTGCTTAAGCACCAAGCGCGCTATTCTTTCCGAGATAGCTAAAATATACGATCCATTGGGCCTTTTAGCGCCAGTTACTTTATATGCCAAACATTTGATCCAACTTTTGTGGATAGCCAATATAGGTTGGGATGAAGCACCGCCGATTGATATTGTTAATTCATGGAAATCATTTAGTAGTCAGTTACCATTTATTTCGAATGTGTCGTTCCCAAGGCACATTTTTTCTGATTTAGGATCTGTTCAGATTCATGGCTTTGCCGATGCTTCAGAAAAGGCTTTTGCCGCCTGTGTATACATACGCCTTACGGGCAAAGACGGGCATGTTCGTACTTCGCTTATTATAGCCAAAACTCGAGTCGCTCCACTTCGTATGCGTCTTACTATTCCCCGTCTCGAACTTATGGCAGCCCTATTGTTGTCAAAACTACTACAGCAGGTGTTAGTTACCTACTCAGATTACGTCAAGGGTGATCAAGTTTACGCTTGGTCTGATGCATCCATAGTGTTAGCGTGGTTACGTTCGCCACCACATGAATGGAAAACATTTGTTTCTAATCGCACTAGCGAGATTCTTTCACGCGTTCCCGTTAACTGCTGGCGACATGTACCGTCGACCGATAACCCTGCTGATGCTGCGTCTCGTGGTATGCTACCTGGCGTATTTATAGAACATGATTTGTGGTTCCAAGGTCCAAGTTGGCTCCGACAGGACGAAGCTTGCTGGCCGGAATCAAAGTCTTACTATACAACGGAAGAGGAAAAGCGTCTCAATATTAATTTGATTAACACTAATTTAACTACACTGGATCCCTTACCGGATGTAGAGATAATTTCTCGATTTTCTACGTTAGGAAAACTTGTTCGCGTTACTGCAATAATATTTAGATTTTATTTCAAATGTAAAAAACACATTAAATCT